AGCAGTGCATTCCATGCCATGCGAGCCAGAGGCAAGGGCCCCAGAATGTCCTGTTCCTGGCACAGGTGCAGGAGGGGAGGAGAAAGGATCCCATGCCAACACCCCGTTGCTGCACTTGGTTGCTTGTGATGCTTCGCGTGCCAGTGCTGCTGCTGCTGCTGCTGCTGCTGCTGCTGCTGCTGTGCGAGTGGACACCACAGGTGCTTTAGCAACAGAGGCTTCTGATGTCATAGCAGGGAATGCCACGGGTGATGCTTCAGGTGGTTCTTCAGGTGCTCCTGCAGGTCCTTCAGGTGGTCCGTCAGATGGAGCTGCAGGTGACGGCCCAGAGCCCAGGGAGCACACTAATTTCTTCGCGCGGCTGAAAGGAAGATGGAAAGTGGGGGGAAGAACACCGTCAACTCCCAGCTTCGGGCTGGGCTTTGGGTTCGGCTCCCCACAGCAGCAGTTCTTGCCATTCAAGCAGCAACCACTGAAGCTGACAGTGAAGGGGCATATCGAGCAGGGTGGGGGAGGAGAGGGGGAGTTTGAGAACCCACAAATATTACCTGACGGTCCACCCGAGGGTTCACCTGAGGAGGGTGAGGAGGAACACTTGCAGCTGGTGCGTAGCATGAGTGAGGGTATGGTTCCCAGGGGTGCGAGTGACAGGGGCAGCGGCGGTGGTGGCAGTGGCGGCAGCGGGAGTGGAGGCAGCAGTGGGGAAGGTAGTGGCAACAGCAGAACAGGACAAGGGGCAATAAAGAACGACAAAGGGCATGGGAGTGATGAGGGATGGCGTGGGGAGGGGAATAAGGCGAGGAGAGCATCTATTGGTGGTCCTGCTGCTGGTGGTGCTGGTCCTGCCATGCTGCCACGTGCTGCAGGGATAGCACGGGAGAAGCACAGCATACAGATGCAGTGGGAAGGTGGGCTTTCTCTCCCCACCAACAACAGATGCTTCCGTTGTTTACTTATCGTCAAAAAGGGCCTCTTTTTCGTCTTCGTTATCATGATTTGCGCAGCAACCAACCATCTGTACCACTGTTTTGTTTTGCTGCACTGGTTCTTGAGACACCCTCTACCTGAGTATCCTCTAGCATTTGAGTGCCCTTCGCCATTCAAGTATCCCTGGCGTCAACCTGCAATCCGTGCACCTCTCTTCCCTGACATGTCATCATGCCGTCATGCCATCATGCCATCATGGATCATCGCAGTCGCACGCATGCCATGGGCTTGCACAAGTGCTATCAGCTTTCTCCCTCCAAACATCCATCCCATACTCATCAACGGCTCTCAGCTTCGCTACTTCCATCTTTGTTTTCACTCCCTCATGCCTCTCTGCTCGCAATCTCAACCTTCCAAACGCCATAGTGGCCAATCTCAACCGTGTCCCATGGGTTCAATGATTTTCTAGGCAACACAGAAAGCATTTCTTTTGCGATCTTCGTGCATGCAACTCATGAGTCCCTCTCATGCCTCTCGTGCCTCTCACGCTTTTCCTCTCCCCCTCCTCAGACGCCATGGTGGACAATCTAAACCGCGTCCCATGGGCGCGCATCGATGTCAACTTTGCATCCTCACCACTCGCCTTCCTTGCTCACATCCTTATTCAGGTATTGCCACTCGTGGCAAGACTCTTGCCAGTCTCATTGGACCGCCTCTCTTTGTGTGGTTTGATAAATGTTCAGGAGTTGTTTGTATGAGTTCTTGTTTGCCAGCTGAGTGAATTCTGATTGCATTTTGTTTGCATTATGTTACGATTCGAGTTTCATTCCATTTGCCCATGCTTAAAAACGCTCAAGCCCATGAGGGCAAGTGCAGCACGGCATGTCACGACAAGCCCATGTGCTTCCACTGTCAACCCTTTTATCCTTTCACCAACGCCTTGCAGGTGAACATCCCAACACTCAAAGCGCATGGAGCCAGTGTCATACAGCATGTGATCGACAACTTTGTGGTGTAGCACTACACTACACTTGCACAGCACTTCACTTCACGCTTTGCTACACTGCACAACACACCTTCCCTCAGTTCCAACGCCCTACTTGAAGCGGTAGGTTATTTGTACTGGAGCTGCACACCTTTTCTCCATGGCAGAAAGCGTCCGGCTAACGGTGGACGGAATCGAATGGATTATAATTGTTTTTGGGTGTCTGTTTACTTGTCTGATATGTGTGTTCTGGGTTTAGTTTCCAAGTCTCTTATAGTGTTTACGTTCTCTTGTGAGGAACGCCTTACTAAGCAAAGCATTCTACATGTTGCAAGTGGCAGATTTACAAAAAGCATGACATCATATAATTCATGACTCATGCAAAGGGTGTTGTCAATTGGAGGGACAGGAATGCCAAACAATGGCTTGTATCGAGGGTTCTAGTCTTGGGAGGAGCGGAAGACACCGAAGGCAGTGAATGCTCCTGTGGCAGCCACAATTACCAGCGCCAAGGCAGGCAGCGGCGTCGGCACTCCAATCAACTGGTGGGAAGAGATGAAACAGAGCAGTGAGAAATGGGTGAGGTATGAATGGAACAGGGGGATAGGGAGGGAAGGGGATGGATACCAGAATGTGAAGAGATGAGTAGGGGAGCTGAGGAAAAGGGTAATACGAGAACTGTGGTGCAGAAGAAACATTTAATGATTGTGCAAGTGAGTTTGGCGTGTAATTTGTCTACATGCGCTTCTGCAGCTTTTCCAGTCATCGTAGGAACGCCCATGCCATGTCTTGGCTTGTGCTTTCAAATAAGGCCCAGATGCTCTGCTCGCCTCGTGTCACTGACATCCGTCACTGAGTGAACCGTTCCTCCATACGTATGCACTACGACCATCTCCCCCCCTTCTCACTTCACCAACTACGCACATTCTTCTTGTCCATTCGCCTCGAGCAGCCCCATCCCATAACTCATTCACATGACGTACCTTAAGCGCTCCCTCACTCACCTCAGTCGCAGGCCAACAACTCACCAGAGCCCCCACGAAGCCCTTCATAGCCATCCGCGCCACTTCAAGCCTCATTGACACACGGGAATCCATTCGCACAACGCACCTCAATAAACCCCTCACTCATCTCGAGCAACCCCTTTACTCGCTCACCTCGAGCAGCCCCTTGCCAGTGACCACCTCCATCACCAGAGCCCCCACGAAGCCCATCATCGCCAGCCGCCCAACCCAGATGTCCACTCCGCCTCCGCCGCCGCCGGACCCACCCTCAGACGCCATGGCGCGCACCGTCATGCCTCCCCTGCGACTCGCGCCGAGGGTGCTGGCTCGGGAGGCCGCGGCTCGGGCGCAGGCTTGGCGGAAAGCGGAGGACTGGGAGAGGGAGGAAAGGTTCCTGAGCGGGAGAGCTGGTAACGGGATGGTGGTGAGGGAGGGGGAAAGGGTCGGGGGAAGATAGATTGTAACAAGTTCTAGCTGTGATCTTGTGAGTCGAATCAAAACATGGGCTCGTCAAAGAGGAAAACAAGTGCTAGCTGTTATGAAGACGAGAAAACGAAGCAGAGACAAGGCGGATTACATCACAAACGCGATCATAAATCATGCACACGGTATTGTTTCACCCTTCGACTCGTGAACGTGCCTACCTGGCACTGCTGATCGCGCTGCTTGTGATGTGGTCTCCGCCTGAAAAGAAACCAGCGTAACAGATAAATTTTGCTCAGATTCCTAAAATTGCTGAAACTCCCTGGTGAACTTTGGTAATACGCTTGCGATAACTGCCACGGTCGTGCGGAACACGGGAAACAAGAAAAAGGTGACATTGGGAGGGGTAGGAATGGCGAACAGACCTTGTAAGATAGGCATGGAGAGGCAACAGAGGCAGCTGTATGAAGGGTGGTAGCCGCCATTGTGACGTGTGTGTGCTCGGCGCTAAGGCTGCCTGACAGAGTTGCGCTGTGCTAGCAGGAACAATGGACGAAATGAAGGTGAAGGAAACAGAAGAATGAAACTAGGAATGATGGAAGTGAGTTGAAGTGAGGGGAGAAAATCTAGGCTGACAGAATGTGTAGAGGATGCGAGCAAGGTCCGAGGATTCTGTGGACCTCGAGATTGCTGACTTCAGGTCCAGGTGTGAAGAATATGGAGCACAGAGAAGAGAGCAAATGTTGATTAGTTTTATCAATAGATAAGCTTCCATTGCTTTTTCCTCCCCCCACTTAAAAAATAAAAATCATTTTAGGCCTGCCCACGGCCTTGGGCAGAGGATGATGGAAGTGGCTGGAGATGTTTCGTTTGGAGGAGTGTTCCAGCGTGGCACAACAGCTGGATGCTTCAGCTACTGCCACGAAGTTGGCTGTCTCGTTTCAGAAGAGGTGCTGTTTGGTGTCGCTGATCGGTGTGGATCTGGCGCGAATGTAAAAACATGTAGAACTGCAGAGCCTAACCTCGTTCATGTGCGAACGAGGTGTAGCTTGTAAACCAAACGGTAACTGCTGCCATCCGATTATCGGCTCTAGCCGATTCCAGCCAATTGCGCTATTCCCCGCCTTTCCTGGTCGTCATCTTCTTTGGGTACCCCCCCCATTCCCCCTGTCAGCTGTCTTGCCTCCCTCGATTCCCTCGATTTCTCCTTTAATTCCTCCAACTGGTGTGTCAGAGACTGCTGTCAGATCAGCCTGGGACGCATCATGCCTGCTTCGAGAATATCTTTGCTGTGTAACTTGAAGGCATGCTCGGAAACAGCATGATAATGGCTGCCTGGAATCGCTCCCTGAACACCTGTTTTTTTGCAGGCACTAGGAACACACGAAAAATCTCATTATGCGTGTAGCACTTCGATATAAATAGTGGCGTTTCCGTTCTAAGCCGTCTATCCGCATCAACCTCTATTGCCTCGCTTGTTCAATTTGAACGAATTTCCCTTCTCGTCGGTTAAAGGAGGTTAAAGAAACGGTATCGCCCGACGTTTCGGCCTTATCAGACTAAATGGTATCACGCTGCTCGAAACCGTAGCACCAGCATTGCGGCTGTTTGTCGTCCATCACTCGATTTATCGACATCTGTAAAACGGTTAATTGGCAGCCATGGCGGACGATCAGTGGTTCCATGGTGCCGCGCTGTCAGACATCGGTCGGCCGTCGTCAGACCCGCCTTCAGCGGCGTCAAGCACGGGCGGTCCTCCACCGCAAACTGGCCGAATGTCGGCCGGCACTCGCCGGACTGTCAAAGGTGCCGGCTCTGGCACTCCGTCAAAAGGAGCGACAGGCGGCATGACGGCCGGGAAGAAGCGTATGGCCGCGGTAACGGAAAAGGCGGTCGGGCTGAAGGATCGACTACGGGTGAGTCTCATCGCGCCTTAGGGAGGAGGTGGGAGGTGCACCTCCGGTGAGCAACTCATGCCGCGCAGCTCATGGCTTTTAGGGGAGCTTATGAGATCTTACGGGAGCTTGTGGGAGCTTTTCATTGTGCCTCGCTTAGTTACTTCGAGCCCATTCTCCGCGCTCTGCAAGCAGACCCACGTTGACTCAAAAGTCGCTTAGTTACTTCGAGCCCATTCTCCGCGCTCTGCAAGCAGACCCACGTTGACTTTGAATCGACTCAAAAGTCGCTTAGTTACTTCGAGCCCATTCTCCGCGCTCTGCAAGCAGACCCACGTTGTCGTCTTATCGGAAAGTTCTGTAGCGTTCGTGCGCATAAATTCCTGCACCACTTTCTTTCATCCCCCTCCATCCCACCTTTCTCTCCCTCTGTCCTCTACCACTCCCCGTCACGCCCCCGTCACTCCGCGTCCCCCGTCACTTCCCGCGACACTCGCCACTCCCCGCCTCTCCCCTGTCACTCCTCCGCCACTCCCCCGTCTCTCCCCCGTCCCTCCCCGAGCCACTGCCCGTCGCTCCCCCGTCACTCTCCGCCACTTCCCCATCACCCCTCCACCACTCGCCACTCTCTCTTCACTCTCCATCACCCCCGCGCCACTCCCCCGTGTCGTCCAGCAGGGGAGCGCTGCGGTGCGCCAGCAGCGTGCGACCCACAGCAGCGTGCCTCCGACAAAACAACTCCCACCAGCTCGATTTCCAGCCCTCCGTTCCCCGTCCCCTCTCTCACCCCCATTCTCCGCCCTTCATCCTTGAAGGAGCAGCCCTTCGTTTTCGTTCGAACCTTCACTCTCCGCCTTCCTTTCCTCATTCCTTCTTTCCAATTCTACCTTTCTGCCCTTCCCCATCCTCCCTCCCAGGCTCAGCCCGTGCACCAGCAAGGGAAGGAGGGGGCTTATAACGCACAACCATTCTGCCCTTCCCACAACTTTCAACTCACAGGTCACCTCTTTCCAACCCTACCCCTCAAACCCCAACCACTATCTCCCTCCCTCCCCACTCCCTTCCCCGCTTGAGGAGGTGCTGGAGCTGCGGTAGGGCACGTACGAGGGAGGAGGTGTTGGAGCCTCAACCCTACTGCCCTCCCCTCAACCCCAACCCCCCGTCCCCCACCCCCACCTCCCCCCACTTCCCCCAGCAAGCGAGGGGGGAGGTGTTGGAGCCTCAACCCTACCGCCCTACCCTCAACCCCAACCCCCCGTCTCCCACCCCCACCTCCCCCCACTTCCCCCAGCAAGCGAGGGAGGAGGTGTTGGTGCTGAGGCAGGACGCGTGCGACCTGCAGGAATATGCCTCCAACCCTACCACCCTCCCCTCAACCTCTCCAAAACCCGAAACCCCCTTCCCTCCTCCCCTCCAGCAAGCGAGGGAGGAGGTGCTGGAGCTGAGGCAGGACGCGTGCGACATGCAGGAGTATGCCTCCGCCAAGCTCATGCGCGCGCAGACCTACCTGCAGCTGCTCGCCAAGAAGGCGCACGGTCTCGGTACGTGCCTTAACTTCCATGCTTAGACTCCATACGTGATGCTGAAGCTTCTGCAAACTAGCCTCGGAGTAGGAGCGCTTCTCCCCCTAAGCTGCTGCGCATTCCAAGAAGGCCCACGGGCTCTGTACATGCGCTGCTGGCTTCCGTGCTTCATGCTAGTAAAGCAGCTCATGGCGCAGGGATGCATTACATGGCCGCCCTGCTCGCTCTCTGAAGCTACAGCTACTGCAGAGCAGACAAGACTAGACCTGACAAGGCAGGCTTGATGCCCTCTGAATCTCCTCGGATTCCGTTCTTGTGCACAAAGACAAGGGTACTTTCAAGAGCTGGTCCGAAGTTTCTTCGCACGCCTCCTTCCTTTGTTACACCCGTTTCTTTGTCTCATGGCATCTTCTCATTCTTATGACACTCTTCTGGCTCGTGTACCCCCCACGTTCCGCATTCTTTCTTCTGGTTCACCAACGTCACCTTAGTCTCTACGTGGCACCTTCCAACCGTTTCACCTTCGACTCGACTATTGTGTACCTCCAAATGTTTTCGCCCTCCGTCGTCCACTGTGCGTGCGTGCATGCAGACCAGGTGGTGCAGGAGGCGGAGTCAAAGGTGGTAATTTCAAGGCGCCCTATAACTCTATTGACTGTGTTTTCACAACTGTCCTGCCGCCTGTCCTCCATGTGTGGTGTGCGTGCGTGCGAGCAGACCAGGTGGCGCAGGAGGCGGAGTCAAAGGTGGTAATTTCAAGGCGCCCTATAACTCTATTGACTGTGTTTTCACAACTGTCCTGCCGCCTGTCCGCCATGTGTGGTGTGCGTGCGTGCGAGCAGACCAGGTGGCGCAGGAGGCGGAGTCAAAGGTGGTAATTTCAAGGCGCCCTATAACTCTATTGACTGTGTTTTCACAACTGTCCTGCCGCCTGTCCGCCATGTGTGGTGTGCGTGCGTGCGAGCAGACCAGGTGGCGCAGGAGGCGGAGTCAAAGGTGGTAATTTCAAGGCGCCCTAAAACTCTATTGACTGTGTTTTCACAACTGTCCTGCCGCCTGTCCGCCATGTGTGGTGTGCGTGCGTGCGAGCAGACCAGGTGGCGCAGGAGGCGGAGTCAAAGGTGGTAATTTCAAGGCGCCCTATAACTCTATTGACTGTGTTTTCACAACTGTCCTGCCGCCTGTCCTCCATGTGTGGTGTGCGTGCGTGCGAGCAGACCAGGTGGCGCAGGAGGCGGAGTCAAAGGTGGCGCCTCTGAAGAAGGAGCGCAGGCGGCTCTTCAACAGCCTCATCCAGTCCAAAGGTGAACCTCCCACCCCATCCCATCCACCTCCCATCCCATCCACCTCCCATCCCATCCACCTCCCATCCCATCCACCTCTCATGTGGCAGCACTGCCTGACGCGTGGAGTGCCGCCCCTATCCAGACTTTGTTGTGTTGTGTCGATCCAGACGCCATCCCCTATCCCTCTCCACGCACTCACCCTCTCCTTCTCACACTCTGCTCTTCACACTCTTCTCACACTCTCTCCTCACAATCTCCTCTCCTCTGCTCCGCTCTTCTCTCCTCTCCTCTTCTCCCCTCTCCTTTCCTTCCCTCTCTCCCCATCTCCTCTTTTTACCAGGCAACATCCGAGTGGTGTGTCGGGTGCGCCCAGCATTCGAGCACGAGGACTCACTCGCGCTCTCCTTCCCAGACGAAACCACCATCCGCATCAACCCCTCCGCCACAGCCACTGCTGCCACGGCTGGCAGTGCTGGCAGCACAGGCAGTGCGGGGTCTCCTGGGTCCTTGGGTGGTGGGGGTGGCAGCAGCGGGCTGGCGAAGAGGGACTATGAGCTGGATCACATCTATGGGCCGCATGTGGGGCAAGGTGAGCCACTTAAATTGAATTGAACTGCACTGAATCGCAGTGCAATGCGATGCGAGCGAAGGGTTGTGCAGGCGATCTATTCCTGGGCGCTGTACAGCCCATGGTGCAGGGCAGGCTGTGATGGACGGCTTCAACGCCTGTCACCACACTGAACCACGCTATACCTACCTCCACCACCTTGTTGCTGTGCAGGCGATCTATTCGTGGACGCGGTGCAGCCCATGGTGCAGGCTGTGATGGACGGCTTCAACGCCTCCATCATTGCGTATGGGCAGAGTGGCTCGGGGAAATCACACACTATGGTACGCACATGCGGCTGATAGGAAAAAAAAAAAACGGATTCCTTGATTCGAATGCGCGTCAGATAGGCAGTCTGAAAGTAGATTCACGGGGGGAACGGAGGTGGAAGAGTTTATGCATGCCACCTCCGTTCCCCCAGGCCAACCACACAGGCAGGAGGCATTGCTGCCCCTTTGCTGTTGCATGCCACCTCCATTCCCCCAGGCCAACCACACAGGCAGGAGGCATTGCTGCCCCTTTGCTGTTGCATGCCACCTCCATTCCCCCAGGCCAACCACACAGGCAGGAGGCATTGCTGCCCCTTTGCTGTTGCATGCCACCTCCATTCCCCCAGGCCAACCACACAGGCAGGAGGCATTGCTGCCCCTTTGCTGTTGCATGCCACCTCCATTCCCCCAGGCCAACCACACAGGCAGGAGGCATTGCTGCCCCTTTGCTGTTGCATGCCACCTCCATTCCCCCAGGCCAACCACACAGGCAGGAGGCATTGCTGCCCCTTTGCTGTTGCATGCCACCTCCATTCCTCCAGGCCAACCACACAGGCAGGAGGCATTGCTGCCCCTTTGCTGTTGCATGCCACCTCCATTCCCCCAGGCCAACCACACAGGCAGGAGGCATTGCTGCCCCTTTGCTGTTGCATGCCACCTCCATTCCCCCAGGCCAACCACACAGGCAGGAGGCATTGCTGCCCCTTTGCTGTTGCATGCCACCTCCATTCCCCCAGGCCAACCACACAGGCAGGAGGCATTGCTGCCCCTTTGCTGTTGCATGCCACCTCCATTCCCCCAGGCCAACCACACAGGCAGGAGGCATTGCTGCCCCTTTGCTGTTGCATGCCTCCTGCCTGCGTGGTTGGCCCGGGGAGTCGGTTTTGCGAACCTGGAATGGCGGACGGTGAGATGCATGACATGACACAGAGGACCCCAACATCTCTCCGCATCCACACCCACCCATCCCCCATTACCCCGCCATTCCAGGAGGGCCTCTCCCACGGCCTCGGCATCTTCTACCGAGCGTTTGATGAGATCTATGATCTTGCCACCACGACACAGCAGACACCTTGATCCCTCCATCCATCCCCCCCCCCCTCTCCCTTCCTCTTCCCTTGGCATTCCAAGAGGGCCTGTCCCACAACAGGGGTATCTTCTACTGAGCGTTTGATGAGATCTATGACCTTGCCAACTCAACATAGAGGACCCCTCAATTCCCACCTCCCCACTTCCAGGTTTTGCAGGAGGGCCTGTCCCACGACAGGGTCGTCTTCTACCGAGCGTTTGATGAGATCTACCTATGACCTCACACTCTCAGGACTGATCCCCACACGACTCCTCCTTCCTCCACCCCCCCGCCTTCCTCCCCCCCTCTTGCGCCATTCCAGGAGGGCCCGTCCCACGATCGTGGAATCTTTTACCGAGCGTTTGATGAGATCTACGACCTTGCCAACTCAACATACGCCCCCGCTGACAGCTACACCTTCCACGTCAGCATGCTCGAGATGTTCAACGAGCAGGTGTGGTGGCGGGGGTGAGGAGATGGAGGGTGGTTGTGTGGGGGGTTCTGGGGGAACGAGGTGACTCTTGAGTTGACTCAAAAGACATTCGCCCCTGCTTCCAGCTACACCTTCCACGTCAGAGTGCTCGAGATGTTTAACGAGCAGGTGAGGTGAAAATGGGGTGGAGAATAGTGGGTGCGTGCATGGTAACTCAGGGGGGAAGGGCGGTTTAGATGTTCAACGAGCAGAGTGTGGATTGGCAAGGATTTCCTTCTGAAAGACGTCTCAAAAGAACAGGGGCGACCTGCTGGTGATCCCCATGCTGCCCGTCCATTAACCCATCATGCTCTCGGATCCCATCTTTTCAAATATCGTCATGCTCTTGGATGTCCCATCTCGTCTGTTTCTCTGGTTCCTCCGGTTTCTCCCGTCTCACTCACCCCTTGCCCACACAGCTGAGCGACCTGCTTGTGAACCCCATGCTGGCCGGCCATGGGTCTGTGGGGAAGGTGGAGATCGTGCATGGGGGGGCGGGAGGGGGAAGCGGAGCAGCAGGGGGAGGAGCAACCGCAGGAGCAGCAGCAGGAGGAGCAGGGGTGGGGGGGTGGGGCGAGGTGGAGCTACGGGGAGTGAGGGAAGAGGCAGTGAGCAACCCGATGGAGTATGCCAAGGTGGTCAAGACGGCTCTGCAGCACCGGGCGGCAGGGGGAGGTGCATCTGGGGGAGGTGGGCTCGTTGGGAACAGCAAGGAGCGCAACAAGCTCTCGCACCTGTGAGTTTGGTTCCTCTCTTGCCTGCTCTTGGAAGCTCTACGTTCCTCTTGCCATGCTTGTAGGCTCGTTTGACGGGAGCAGCCGAACAGCAGAGGCAGCGTATCAGATCAAACCCGTGATTCGCATTCTATCACCTCTTGGTGGCCCTTTTTGGAACCCCCAGTCCCAGGGTGGTGATAGTGCGAGTGCATCACAACAACGCAGTGACCGGAGAGCAGCAGGTCAGCAAGCTCCTGCTGGCGGTACCCCCTTTTAAATGGCATGTCCTCCCCCCTCTCCCCCGCCAACACTCCTTCCGCCCCATGACTACACCTCAGGGTGGTGATAGAGCGAGTGCATCACGGCGACCTGGTGACAGGAGACCAGCAGAGCAGCAAGCTGCTGCTGGCGGATCACACCCCCCCACCCCCTCCCTCCTCCCTTTCCGCCCCCACTCCTTCCTGGCCTGTGACTGCACGCCAGGGTGGTGATAGTGCGAGTGCATCACGATGACCCCGTAACTGGCAAGCAGCAGGGCAGCAAGCTGCTGCTGGCGGATCTCGCCTCCAGCGAGCGCCTCCTCGCCTCCTCCTCATCCAATCCAGCGCACCCCTGGCCCCCATGTGTGTGACTGCAGTGACCACAAGTACTCAGTGACTGGCGAGAAGACAAGTCACTGCAAATGGCAGAACCTCTTCGCCTTTCTCTCCCCCCCCTTGCTCTGCCCCCCTTTCACTCCCTCCCCCCCATGACAACACCTCAGGGTGGTGATAGTGCGAGTGCATCACGACGACCCGGTGACGGGAGAGCAGCAGCACAGCAAGCTGCTGCTGGCGGATCTCGCCTCCAGCGAGCGCCTCCTCGCCTCCTCCTCCGCCTCGGGGGACCGTCTCACCGCCTCGCTGCACGTGCAGAAATCCTTCTCAGCGTACGTACAGTGCTGCTGGTGGGGCTGTGTGTTGTGGAGCTGACTTTTGAGTCGACTCAAAAGTCACCTCAGCGTACGTACAGTGCTGCTGGTGGGGTTGTGCGTGGTGTGGAGCTCTTTATGGTACGTCGTGTGCCATTCAAACATCCTCCTCCGCCTCGGGGGACAAGTTCACCGCCTCGCTGCATGAAGAGAAGTCCTTCTTATGGGGTCCTCTGCACAACACCGTACGTACGGTGCTGCTGATGGGGCTGGTAGGAGAAGTCCTCTGCACAACACCGTATGTACGGTGCTGCTGATGGGACTGGTAGGAGAAGTCCTCTGCACAACACCGTATGTACGGTGCTGCTGATGGGGCTGGTAGGAGAAGTCCTCTGCACAACACCGTATGTACGGTGCTGCTGATGGGGCTGGTAGGAGAAGTCCTCTGCACAACACCGTATGTACGGTGCTGCTGATGGGGCTGGTAGGAGAAGTCCTCTGCACAACACCGTATGTACGGTGCTGCTGATGGGGCTGGTAGGAGAAGTCCTCTGCACAACACCGTATGTACGGTGCTGCTGATGGGGCTGGTAGGAGAAGTCCTCTGCACAACACCGTATGTACGGTGCTGCTGATGGGGCTGGTAGGAGAAGTCCTCTGCACAACACCGTATGTACGGTGCTGCTGATGGGGCTGGTAGGAGAAGTCCTCTGCACAACACCGTATGTACGGTGCTGCTGATGGGGCTGGTAGGAGAAGTCCTCTGCACAACACCGTATGTACGGTGCTGCTGATGGGGCTGGTAGGAGAAGTCCTCTGCACAACACCGTATGTACGGTGCTGCTGATGGGGCTGGTAGGAGAAGTCCTCTGCACAACACCGTATGTACGGTGCTGCTGATGGGGCTGGTAGGAGAAGTCCTCTGCACAACACCGTATGTACGGTGCTGCTGATGGGGCTGGTAGGAGAAGTCCTCTGCACAACACCGTATGTACGGTGCTGCTGATGGGGCTGGTAGGAGAAGTCCTCTGCACAACACCGTATGTACGGTGCTGCTGATGGGGTTACTCAGGTGGCAGGATGCCAAGTGTGTTGAGGTGCTGTTCAATCATCTCCTCCGCCCAGGGGTCGGGTTCACCGCTTTGCTGCATGCTCAGAAGTCCCTTTTCAGTATGCGACGCATTCTCTGCGTGTCTCGCATGTCATAAGTGTCATGCATGTGTTTTCATGGCCCTCCTCTTCCTTCCCCACCATCTCTTGCACCTGCAGTTTGGGCGACTGTCTGTCTGCTCTCACGGGCAAGCGTCCCACCGTGCCCTATGGCAATTCCAAGCTCACCACTCTGCTCTCCGACTGCCTTGGTGCGTGGCCAATATTTAATATCAGAATCCTCGAAGAATGTAGGTAGAATCATCCCACCATGGTGATAGTGATGTGCGGCAATGGACTCACTTCGATGCAGACGCTGGATCGGAGTGAGTCCATGTTCTGCCTGCCCTCTTCTTACCCATGCTTCCCTTCTTTCTCCCTTGCCCCACCGTGGGGCGAGGCCGAGACAGTGATGGTGGTGACGTTCAGTTCAGCCCAGTGGTGCTGGACGCGTCAATGCCTATGCCTATCCCTCGTCCTCGCTTTCCCTTCCCCCTCGCTCTCCTCTTCTCTCCCTTACCCCACCAGGAGGCGAGGCCAAGACGGTGGTGGTGGTGACTTGCTTCCCGTCAGTGCAGGGTTCGATGCCTGTCCTCCCCCTCTTTGCTTTTCCCCTTCCTCTTTCCCTCGTCTCTCTCTCTTGCCCCACCAGGCGGCGAGGCCAAGACGGTGGTGGTGGTGACGTGCAGCCCATCGGTGCGCGACGTGGCGGAGTCAGTGCTTATGCCTGTCCTACTCCTCGAATCGCCCTCCCACTCTCTCGCGGTTCTTATTCTCTCCTCTCCCTCTTGGCCCACCAGGAGGCGAGGCCAAGACGGTGGTGGTGGTGACGTGCAGCCCGTCAGTGCGGGACGTGGCGGAGTCAGTGCTTATGCCTGTCCTCCTCCTCGAATCGCCCTCCCACTCTCTCGCGGTTCTTATTCTCTCCTCTCCCTCTTGCCCCACCAGGAGGCGAGGCCAAGACGGTGGTGGTGGTGACGTGCAGCCCATCAGTGCGGGACGTGGCGGAGTCGGCGCTCTCGCTGGCCTTTGCTGCCCGCTCCCGCAACTCAGAGCTCAGCCTCGGCACGCGCGATACCATTAAGAAATGGCGCGACATGGTGTGTGTGGGTTGAGAGAGGGACATGGTGTGTGTGTGTGTGTGTGTGTGTGTGTGTGTGTGTGTGTGTGTGTGTGTGCGGGACGTGGCTGAACCAGCCCTCTCGCTGGCCTTTGCTGTCTTGGGGGTTGGGCATAGTGTGTGCGGCCGGGCGGTTCAGTTCAGCCTGTGTCACCTTTGAGAAGTGATGTGAGGGAAGTGTCTGAGAGTGAGAGGCGGGTGACACAGGTACAGCAGGAAGTGCTGTAACGCGCTCAAGTGTCTCGTTCTTATATCCTCCCTGTCTTTTTAGGCAATTGTCGCATGGAGGGACGTGTTTGAAAGCGAGAAGCAGACGGCAAAGGCGCAGCAGGAAGTGCAGCAGGAGGTGCAGCAGGAGGTGCAGCAGGAGGTGCAGCAGGAGGTGCAGCAGGAGGTGCAGCAGGAGGTGCAGCAGGAGGTGCAGCAGGAAGTGCAGCAGGAAGTGCAGCAGGAAGTGCAGCAGGAAGTGCAGCAGGAAGTGCAGCAGGAAGTGCAGCAGGAAGTGCAGCAGGAAGTGCAGCAGGAAGTGCAGCAGGAAGTGCAGCAGGAAGTGCAGCAGGAAGTGCAGCAGGAGGTGCCGCAATATGTGTTAAGTGCCACCTTGATTCCCCCTCTCTCCCCAGCCCTCCCTCTTTCCCCACCAGGCGAATGACGCACAAAGGGAGGTGTTTGAGAGCGAGAGGCAGACAGCAAAGGCGCAGTAGGAAGTGCTGCAATGAGTTAAAGAGTCACCGTCTTGAATCCCCTTCCCCCCTCCTCCCAACCACCCACCTTTCAGGCGAGTCACGCGAGGCGGGAGGTATTTGAGAGCGAGAGGCAGACAGCAAAGCACAGTCGGAGGTTTGTTCAAGTGTTACCTCTTGATCCCCACCCTCCCAGGCGAATGACGCAAGGAGAGAGGTGTTTGAGAGCGAGAGGCAGACAGCAGAGGCGCAGCAGGAGGTGCTGCGGCTGAAGGACGCACTGAGGGCGAGCGAGCAGACGGGGTGTGTGCTGCTCACAGAGCTGCAACGCGCCTGGGCCCAGGCTGGCCTGGTGGAGGCACAGCACCATGCTGAAGTGGAACGGCTTATGGTGAGAAGGGGAATGGGGGGGCTGTGTGTAAAGAGGATCCATTATTCTTCATAATAACTGAGGGCCCAGGCTGGCCTGGTGGACGCACAACACCACACTAACGTGGAACGGCTCATGGTGAGAGGGGAGTGGGTGGGGATTGGTGGCGGGTGTAAGGGGCATGCTTATATTCTTTGATAACTCTTCGCTCAGGCGGACTGGTGGAGGCACAGCAGCACGCTCGAGTGGAGAAGGTGATGATGAGAGGGGTGAAGAAAGATAAGAGTGCCGTTCTCCGTGTGAATTCCCCTCCCTGAGGTGCCGTTCTCCGTGTGAATTCCCCTCCCCTCTGCTTGCAGGCTGAGGTGGCCGCTGGAGTGGAGGCACAGCGGCGGATGGAGGAGGAGTGGGAGACTCGAGCAGTGTTGGAAGGGGCTAAGACTGTGAGGGAGCACGAGGAGGAAATGGAGCGCGTTCAGCAGCAACACATTTCAGAGATAGAGGCGTACAAGGTGATGTAGAGGAGTGCAGGGTGATGCAGAGTGGTGTATGGTGAAGTGGAGGAGTGCAAAGTGATATAGCGGTGTGGAAGGTGATATAGAGTTAGGTGATATGGAGGCATACGTGGTTTGGTTATATAGAGGCGTAATGGGAAGTGGCAGCCGAAATTCCAGCAGCAATGGAAAGCATCTCACTTTCTTTTCATGTCCCTTCCTCTTGCACCTCTCTTTCTCTAAACTAAACCCCACCACTCCTCCCCCCTGCAGGTCCAAGTGGAGCAGCTACACGGGCGGCTGGCAGAAGCAGCCGAAATGGCACCACAGATCCCTTCCCTTCCCCTCTGCCATCCCTCCCTCCCATCGCTCCTTCGCTCTCATCCCCCGCACTCCTTCCTTGCTTGCTTTCTCCTCTCACCCACGGCAGATCCAATTGTAAGTAGACGACTTTTGAGACGTCTCAACTTTTGAGTTTTGAGACGTCTCAAAAGTCGCTCCTTCGCTCTCATCCCCCGCACTCCTTCCTTGCTTGCTTTCTCCTCTCACCCACGGCAGATCCAATTGTAAGTAGACGACTTTTGAGACGTCTCAACTTTTGAGCTTTGAGACGTCTCAAAAGTCGCTCCTTCCCTCTCATCCCCCGCACTCCTTCCTTCCTTGCTTGCTTTCTCCTCTCACCCACGGCAGATCCAAGTGGAGCAGCTACACGGGCGGCTGGCAGAAGCAGCCGAAATGGCACCACAGATCCCTTCCCTTCCCCTCTGCCATCCCTCCCTCCCATCGCTCCTTCGCTCTCATCCCCCGCACTCCTTCCTTGCTTGCTTTCTCCTCTCACCCACGGCAGATCCAATTGTAAGTAGACGACTTTTGAGACGTCTCAACTTTTGAGTTTTGAGACGTCTCAAAAGTCGCTCCTTCGCTCTCATCCCCCGCACTCCTTCCTTGCTTGCTTTCTCCTCTCACCCACGGCAGATCCAATTGTAAGTAGACGACTTTTGAGACGTCTCAACTTTTGAGCTTTGAGACGTCTCAAAAGTCGCTCCTTCCCTCTCATCCCCCGCACTCCTTCCTTCCTTGCTTGCTTTCTCCTCTCACCCACGGCAGATCCAAGTGGAGCAGCTACACGGGCGGCTGGCAGAAGCAGCCGAAATGGCACCACAGATCCCTTCCCTTCCCCTCTGCCATCCCTCCCTCCCATCGCTCCTTCGCTCTCATCCCCCGCACTCCTTCCTTGCTTGCTTTCTCCTCTCACCCACGGCAGATCCAATTGTAAGTAGACGACTTTTGAGACGTCTCAACTTTTGAGTTTTGAGACGTCTCAAAAGTCGCTCCTTCGCTCTCATCCCCCGCACTCCTTCCTTGCTTGCTTTCTCCTCTCACCCACGGCAGATCCAATTGTAAGTAGACGACTTTTGAGACGTCTCAACTTTTGAGTTTTGAGACGTCTCAAAAGTCGCTCCTTCCCTCTCATCCCCCGCACTCCTTCCTTCCTTGCTTGCTTTCTCCTCTCACCCACGGCAGATCCAAGTGGAGCAGCTACACGGGCGGCTGGCAGAAGCAGCCGAAATGGCACCACAGATCCCTTCCCTTCCCCTCTGCCCTCCCTCCCTCCCATCGCTCCTTCCCTCTCATCCCCCGCACTCCTTCCTTCCTTGCTTTCTCCTCTCACCCACTGCAGGTCCAAGTGGAGCAGTTGCATGGGCGGCTGGCAGAAGCAGCCGAAATGGCGGCGACGGTGGCGGCACTGCGCCGCCCGCAGGAGGACTCGGCGGAGGTGGCGGAGCTGCGGCAGCGGTATGAAGCAGCGGTGCAGAAGATGACTGCATATAAGAACGAGCTGGAGAAGAGTGAAGCGCTCACCCGGGTGTGTATGGGCCCCCAGGGTATGGAAAGGTCAGCGATACCTGTTGGGTGTTTAGAGGGTTCAAATTGGAAACGTGGGTGGGATGCAGGCTGGACTGGGATGCCTCCGGGGAAAGAGTCACTGCAGTGCGGTAGCTGCAGTATGAAGCAGCGGTGCAGAAGATGACAGCTTTAAGAACGAGCTGGAGAAGAGCGAAGCGCTCACCCGGGTGAGTTGCTGCTTGCTGTTGTGAGGCTGAGGGGATATGGGCTGTGCTGCTTAAGGATAGGTGGTGAGGCGCGGCAGTGTGACAGCTGTATGAAGTGGCAGTGCAGAAGATGACGCGTATAAGAAGGAGCTGGAGAAGAGTGAAGCGCTCACCCGGGTGAGTTGCTGCTTGCTGTTGTGAGGCTGAGGGGATATGGGCTGTGCTGCTTAAGGATAGGTGGTGAGGTGCGACAGTGTGACAGCTGTATGAAGCGGCAGTGCAGAAGATGTCAGCGTATAAGAAGGAGCTGGAGAAGAGTGAAGCACTCACCCGGGTGAGTTGCATTTTGCATGGGTGGCATGGGTGGTACGAGGCAGCGATATTGGGCGGTGCGGCTGTATGGACAGCGCGGTACTGGGCAGCAGCGGGGCACCGGGCGATAGGTTGTGCTTTTGAGTCGACTCAAAAGCTGCGGGCACAGGGCGATAGGTTGTGAAGGTGAAGTGGAGTGGAGCAACAGTGACGCGCTGAACAGGGTGGGGCGATAGACCGGCTGTCTGCTGTCTCGCCTGGAGGCCACCAACTGGCAACAGCACTGAACGTATCCTTCCCAGATCTCCCGAATTTATCCCCTTCCCTCTTCTCTCCCCTCCCTCCTCAAGCCCTCTCCCCTCCCTCCCCTCCCCCTCTCACCCCTTCTTCCTCTAATCCCAGGATCTGAATGCGGAGAATGCCCGTCTGCTGTCGCTCTCGCCTGCAGGCCACCAACAGCACCTAACGTCTCTTCCCGGTTTCCCACAATCCACCCCCGACATCCTTCCTTTTTCCTCTCTTCCTCCCTCAATCACCAGGAGCTGAATGTGGAGAATGCCGGTCTGCTGTCTCGCCTGGAGGCCACCAGCAGTGCTGAACGTTTCTTCCTTGTTCAACTCAATTTAACCTCTCCCAATCCCCCTCCCTCCCCTCCCTCCCCCCCCCCTTTCCCCCTCATCCCCCAATCTCAGGAACTGAATGCGGAGAATGCCAGTCTGCTGTCTCGCCTGGAGGCCACCAACAGTGCACTGGTGAGCTTTCACCCAGACAGGAGGTTGAATTGAAGGAGGTTGAAGGAGGTTGAAGGAGGTTGACTGAGTAGAATCACTGTGAGATTTCTTAGAAAGGATTCCGGTATAGCTGGTGGTAGTGAGCCTTCAGAACGGAGGTTGATGATCAGCTGATGTGGCAGCACCATCTCTTGAGACGTCTCAAAAGTCAGCTGATGTGGCAGCACCATCTCTTGAGACGTCTCAAAAGTCAGCTGATGTGGCAGCACCATCTCTTGAGACGTCTCAAAAGTCAGCTGATGTGGCAGCACCATCTCTTGAGACGTCTCAAAAGTCAGCTGATGTGGCAGCACCATCTCTTGAGACGTCTCAAAAGTCAGCTGATGTGGCAGCACCATCTCTTGAGACGTCTCAAAAGTCAGCTGATGTGGCAGCACCATCTCTTGAGACGTCTCAAAAGTCAGCTGATGTGGCAGCACCATCTCTTGAGACGTCTCAAAAGTCAGCTGATGTGGCAGCACCATCTCTTGAGACGTCTCAAAAGTCAGCTGATGTGGCAGCACCATCTCTTGAGACGTCTCAAAAGTCAGCTGATGTGGCAGCACCATCTCTTGAGACGTCTCAAAAGTCAGCTGATGTGGCAGCACCATCTCTTGAGACGTCTCAAAAGTCAGCTGATGTGGCAGCACCATCTCTTGAGACGTCTCAAAAGTCAGCTGATGTGGCCGCACCATCTCTTGAGACGTCTCAAAAGTCAGCTGATGTGGCAGCACCATCTCCGCTGCACCCCCACCATGCCCACTGCATCTTGTTCCCAGCTCCTTGTCTCACCTTCCACGATAGTTCTCCACATACAAAACCCCTTCCCTTCCTTATCTCCCGTCTCTCCTCCTCTTCTTCTCTTCCCCAGGCTGTTCTTGAGAATTCCGGCCTCATGAAGGTGGACGCCCATGTGCAGGCCCAGGCCCAGGCAAGCAGTAGCAGCAATGATTCCTCTCCCCCTCTTCCCCACCACCCCTCTCTTCCCCTCCTTCGCTTCGCCCTGCATATTCCCGCCCTCCTCCTCCACAGGCTGCTCTCGAGAACTCCGCCCTCATGAAGGTGGACGCCCATGTGCAAGCCCAGGCCCAGGCGCAGACACAGACAGGCACTGCCAATGGCACAGCGGGACCCGGGGATGCAGGAGCAGGGGCAGGCGAAGGCCAAGGCGCTCAGCAGCAGGGGCAGGGGCAAGGGCAAGGGCAAGGGCAGGCGAATGAAGGGAAGCAGGGGGTTGCTGCTGCTCCTGTTGCTGCTGCTGCCGTGAGAGTGGGTGCTGGGGGGTTGCAGTCGCAGCAGCAGGTGGGGGGCGGTGGTGGGGAGTGGGAGAGGCGGAGGGATGAGGTGGTGGGGCGGATGAATCGAGTGATGGTGGACGCGCAGAGCGATGCTGCTGCTCTGGCCGAGGAGAGCAACGCGTGCTTGAGAGAGGTGCGTGGTGGAGAGCGGTGGCGAGTGTTTGGAGAGGAGAGGAGAGTGGTGGAGAGCAGTGGTGAGCGCGCGAGCATTGCATCATCTTAGCAACAATATCCCCGCTTCAACACTGGCTCCATTCTCCCCTCTCCCTCTGAACCCATCCTTCCCCCGTTTGTCCGCTCTGCTTTTGTCCCTATGCGGCCATTCAGATGCTGACAGCTGTCGCAGCCTTGCCAGCTGGCAGTGAGGAGGAGGGGCGGGCGACGGAGGAGGTGCGGGCGGCGGTGGTGGCGCTGCTGGCGTGGGCGCATTCTAAGGCGCTCTCTCTTGATTGGCCGGTCGTGTCGTGTGCCCGCCTGCTGCTGCTGCGCGTGCTGCGCTCCAAGTCAGCCGATGTGCAGTCCAGTAAAGTGAGTGTGGGGAGCGAAGCGAGTGTGAGGAGTAAAGTGAGTGTGAGGTGGAATGAAGTGGGTGTGGGGTGGAGCAAGGGAGTGAGGAGTGGAAATGAGAACTTCGAATCAACCAAGAAAATATCGTTCCTTCCCCCCTTCCCCTGCAACCCTCCCACCCACCAGGTCCCAGCAATCGAGCGGTTCTTGGAAAAAGCGCTACCCCAGCCGGCCAAACCCGCTCTTCAAAAGAGCTCTACTTTCGCTCTCCCCACCACCGCCACCCCTGCGCCCGGCTCCACCCTCCGCACGTTCCGCCTCGACCTCAAGCTGCCTGGAGGGGATAAAGGGGCAGCGGGCACGGGTGCAGGGGGTGGGGGCAGTGCGAGCATTGCGGACCGGCGCGGCAGTGCGTCGTTCCGCCTGCCGTTGTTCCGAGCGGGTGGGAAGAAGGCCGCGGGCGGTGGAGCAGGGGGGTCTGCTGTTAAGGTAGGGTGGCTGTTGCTTGCTCTCTCTCCCCAATGCACACTCCCGTTTAATTTGTGTTTCCACTCCGTGGCACCAAACTCTTGCGTCTGCTGCTGTACCCCCCCTCTCCCAACACTTCGAATCCGCTTGTTACTGTCACAATTGCCACACAGCCCCAGGTCTCAGAGGCCGGACCCCTGAAACACTCCTCTCTGAATCACAATCTTTTGAATCACACGTCCCTGAACCACACCCCATGCAATGCTGCACCGCACACACCACACCACGCCAGGTGTCAGAAGCTCGCATCAAGGAGATTCGGCAGGAGGCAGCAGACCATGCCAAGGGCCACAAGGAGCTCGCCCTAGTCTTCGCCCATTTCGCCACCGCCAAACCCACCACCACCACCGTTACCACCGCCACCGCCACCACCCCGCTCTCCCACGCCTCCTCCCTTCCCGTTGACCTCATCGCGCGCGTCGCTGACGTCACCAGCCTGGAGCAGCGGGTGCTGCAGTGGATCGGATCGCAGTTTGGATTCTGGGCGGCGAGCGAGCCGCCCAGGGACGCGCAGGAGGACGTGGTGGCGGTGGCGGCGGCGGTGGTGGAGGGGTGGCGGGAGGGGCTGGGCACGTTCATGCGGTACAGTGAAGACGCGCTGGGGCAGGTGCTGGCAGATTGGAGCTTCCGACAGTACCGGTCTCAGTTGAGCAATCTTAAGGTGCGTGAGTAGATGTAGAGTTCACTTGGTTTGGGCTTGGGAGGTTCATGCGATACAGTGAGGATGCGCCGGGGCAGGTGCTGGCCGACTGGAGCTTCAGGCAGTATCGGTCGCAACTGAACGACCTGAAAGTGAGGTGCAAGTGCAGGGGCAGAGAACTCTAGGTGAGCTCTTGAGTAGAGGGCAGTGGGTCTTGCCTTGAGGGGTGGCGGGAGGGGCTGGGCACGTTCATGAGATGCAGTGAGGACGCGCTGTGATAGGTGCTGGCTGACTGGAGCTTTAGACAATACCGGTCTCAGCTGAACAACCTCAAGGTGAGGTGCGGTGCAGGGCAGAGTGCTCACCTTGAGGTTTGTGGAGGTGAGAGGGAGGGGCTGGGCATGCTCATGCAATGCGACGCAGCGAGGATGCGCTGGAACAGGTGCTGGCCGACTGGAGCTTCAGGCAATACTGGTCACAGCTGGGGAACCTCAAGGTGAGGTGCACGATGCATCAGTTCTCCCTCTTGCATCGCTTCTCCCTCTTGCATCGCTTCTCCCTCTTGCATCGCTTCTCCCTCTTGCATCGCTTCTCCCTCTTGCATCGCTTCTCCCTCTTGCATCGCTTCTCCCTCTTGCATCGCGTCTCCCTCTTGCATCGCTTCTCCCTCTTGCATCGCTTCTCCCTCTTGCATCGCTTCTCCCTCTTGCATCGCTTCTCCCTCTTGCATCGCTTCTCCCTCTTGCATCGCTTCTCCCTCTTGCATCGCTTCTCCCTCTTGCATCGCTTCTCCCTCTTGCATCGCTTCTCCCTCTTGCATCGCTTCTCCCTCTTGCATCGCTTCTCCCTCTTGCATCGCTTCTCCCTCTTGCATCGCTTCTCCCTCTTGCATCGCTTCTCCCTCTTGCATCGCTTCTCCCTCTTGCTTCGCTTCTCCCTCTTGCATCGCTTCTCCCTCTTGCATCGCTTCTCCCTCTTGCATCGCGTCTCCCTCTTGCATCGCTTCTCCCTCTTGCATCGCGTCTCCCTCTTGCATCGCTTCTCCCTCTTGCATCGCTTCTCCCCACTTCTTTCTCGTCCCCTCCCATTGCATCCTCCACAGGACGAGGGGTCCCCACTTGTTTCTAGTGGAGAATGCAGACGGCATAGAGCATGCATTGAGGCTGCCCCTGCATGGGCCTGAAGGCCGGCATGTTAAAATCTTCTTCTGATGTCTCCCTGATTCTGGTTGCTCGCTTTGCACAGGACGTGGGGTCGTCCCTACTGGTGGAGGAAGCGGACGACATGGAGCACGTGATCAAGCTGCGCCTGGGCCTGGAGGCAGTGAGGCACAAGCGCGCCAAGCTGCTGAGGGACGTGGCGGCAGATGCTTCCCTGGGGGCGCACAGGGAGGAGCTGCTGGAGGGGCAGAAGCGGTGGGAGGCGGAGGGGGGCACCAAGGAAGAGAGTAGAATCGGATCGCTTGCTGCCCTTGAGAAGATTTTCCGCGCCTGCCAGGTGGGTGAGAGAGTGGGTGAGAGAGTGGGTGAGAGAGTGGGTGAGAGAGTGGGTGAGAGAGTGGGTGAGAGAGTGGGTGAGAGAGTGGGTGAGAGAGTGGATGAGAGAGTGGTTGAGAGAGTGGGTGAGGGAGTGGGTGAGAGAGTGGGTGAGAGAGTGGGTGAGAGAGTGGGTGAGAGAGTGGGTGAGAGAGTGGGTGAGAGAGTGGGTGAGAGAGTGGGTGAGAGAGTGGGTGAGAGAGTGGGTGAGAGAGTGGGTGAGAGAGTGGGTGAGAGAGTGGATGAGAGAGTGGTTGAGAGAGTGGGTGAGAGAGTGGGTGAGAGAGTGGGTGAGAGAGTGGATGAGAGAGTGGGTGAGAGAGTGGGTGAGAGAGTGGGTGAGAGAGTGGGTGAGAGAGTGGGTGAGAGAGTGGGTGAGAGAGTGGGTGAGAGAGTGGTTGAGAGAGTGGGTGAGAGCGTACGGCGGCACGGGGGAGGTGAGGGAGGATGGGGGGGGGAAAAAGGGAATGGATGAAGGACGAACACGCAAGTTCAATGAGAGAGTGGCTGTGCATGGCTGTATCAATCGCCCCCACGCACCAATGTGCATGGCTGTATCAATCGCCCCCACGCACCAATCGCCTCCACGCCCTCACGCCACAGAGGGTGTAATCACGTTCACGGCACAGAGGGTGTAATCACGTTCACGCCACAGAGGGTGAAATCACGTTCACGCCACAGAGGGTGTAATCACGTTCACGGCACAGAGGGTGTAATCACGTTCACGGCACAGAGGGTGTAATCACGTTCACGCCACAGAGGGTGTAATCACGTTCACGCCACAGAGGGTGAAATCACGTTCACGGCACAGAGGGTGAAATCACGTTCACGCCACAGAGGGTGTAATCACGTTCACGGCACAGAGGGTGTAATCACGTTCACGGCACAGAGGGTGTAATCACGTTCACGGCACAGAGGGTGTAATCACGTTCACGGCACAGAGGGTGTAATCACGTTCACGCCACAGAGGGTGTAATCACGTTCACGGCACAGAGGGTGTAATCACGTTCACGGCACAGAGGGTGTAATCACGTTCACGGCACAGAGGGTGTAATCACGTTCACGGCACAGAGGGTGTAATCACGTTCACGCCACAGAGGGTGAAATCACGTTCACGGCACAGAGGGTGTAATCACGTTCACGGCACAGAGGGTGTAATCACGTTCACGCCACAGAGGGTGAAATCACGTTCACGGCACAGAGGGTGTAATCACGTTCACGGCACAGAGGGTGTAATCACGTTCACGGCACAGAGGGTGTAATCACGTTCACGGCACAGAGGGTGTAATCACGTTCACGGCACAGAGGGTGTAATCACGTTCACGGCACAGAGGGTGTAATCACGTTCACGGCACAGAGGGTGTAATCACGTTCACGGCACAGAGGGTGTAATCACGTTCACGGCACAGAGGGTGTAATCACGTTCACGGCACAGAGGGTGTAATCACGTTCACGGCACAGAGGGTGTAATCACGTTCACGGCACAGAGGGTGTAATCACGTTCACGGCACAGAGGGTGTAATCACGTTCACGGCACAGAGGGCGTAATCACGTTCACGGCACAGAGGGCGAAATCACGTTCACGGCACAGAGGGTGTAATCACGTTCACGCCACAGAGGGTGTAATCACGTTCACGCCACAGAGGGTGTAATCACGTTCACGGCACAGAGGGTGTAATCACGTTCACGGCACAGAGGGTGTAATCACGTTCACGGCACAGAGGGTGTAATCACGTTCACGGCACAGAGGGTGTAATCATGTTCACGGCACAGAGGGTGTAATCACGTTCACGGCACAGAGGGTGTAATCACGTTCACGGCACAGAGGAGGGTGTAATCACGTTCACGGCACAGAGGGTGTAATCACGTTCACGGCACAGAGGGTGTAATCACGTTCACGCCACAGAGGGTGTAATCATGTTCACGGCACAGAGGGTGTAATCACGTTCACGCCACAGAGGGTGAAATCACGTTCACGCCACAGAGGGTGTAATCACGTTCACGGCACAGAGGGTGTAATCACGTTCACGGCACAGAGGGTGAAATCACGTTCACGGCACAGAGGGTGTAATCACGTTCACGCCACAGAGGGTGTAATCACGTTCACGCCACAGAGGGTGTAATCACGTTCACGGCACAGAGGGTGTAATCACGTTCACGGCACAGAGGGTGTAATCACGTTCACGGCACAGAGGGTGTAATCACGTTCACGGCACAGAGGGTGTAATCACGTTCACGGCACAGAGGGTGTAATCACGTTCACGGCACAGAGGGTGTAATCACGTTCACGGCACAGAGGGTGTAGTCACGTTCACGGCACAGAGGGTGTAATCACGTTCACGGCACAGAGGGTGTAATCACGTTCACGGCACAGAGGGTGTAATCACGTTCACGCCACAGAGGGTGTAATCACGTTCACGGCACAGAGGGTGTAATCACGTTCACGGCACAGAGGGTGTAATCACGTTCACGGCACAGAGGGTGTAATCACGTTCACGGCACAGAGGGTGTAATCACGTTCACGGCACAGAGGGTGTAATCACGTTCACGGCACAGAGGGTGTAATCACGTTCACGCCACAGAGGGTGAAATCACGTTCACGGCACAGAGGGTGTAATCACGTTCACGCCACAGAGGGTGTAATCACGTTCACGGCACAGAGGGTGTAATCACGTTCACGGCACAGAGGGTGTAATCACGTTCACGCCACAGAGGGTGAAATCACGTTCACGCCACAGAGGGTGTAATCACGTTCACGGCACAGAGGGTGTAATCACGTTCACGGCACAGAGGGTGTAATCACGTTCACGGCACAGAGGGTGTAATCACGTTCACGGCACAGAGGGTGAAATCACGTTCACGGCACAGAGGGTGTAATCACGTTCACGGCACAGAGGGTGTAATCACGTTCACGGCACAGAGGGTGTAATCACGTTCATGGCACAGAGGGTGTAATCACGTTCACGCCACAGAGGGTGTAATCACGTTCACGCCACAGAGGGTGTAATCACGTTCACGGCACAGAGGGTGTAATCACGTTCACGGCACAGAGGGTGAAATCACGTTCACGGCACAGAGGGTGAAATCACGTTCACGGCACAGAGGGTGTAATCACGTTCACGGCACAGAGGGTGTAATCACGTTCACGCCACAGAGGGTGTAATCACGTTCACGGCACAGAGGGTGTAATCACGTTCACGGCACAGAGGGTGTAATCACGTTCACGCCACAGAGGGTGAAATCACGTTCACGGCACAGAGGGTGTAATCACGTTCACGGCACAGAGGGTGTAATCACGTTCACGGCACAGAGGGTGTAATCACGTTCACGGCACAGAGGGTGTAATCACGTTCACGGCACAGAGGGTGTAATCACGTTCACGCCACAGAGGGTGAAATCACGTTCACGCCACAGAGGGTGTAATCACGTTCACGGCACAGAGGGTGTAATCACGTTCACGGCACAGAGGGTGAAATCACGTTCACGGCACAGAGGGTGAAATCACGTTCACGCCACAGAGGGTGTAATCACGTTCACGCCACAGAGGGTGAAATCACGTTCACGCCACAGAGGGTGAAATCACGTTCACGGCACAGAGGGTGAAATCACGTTCACGCCACAGAGGGTGTAATCACGTTCACGGCACAGAGGGTGTAATCACGTTCACGGCACAGAGGGTGTAATCACGTTCACGGCACAGAGGGTGTAATCACGTTCACGGCACAGAGGGTGTAATCACGTTCACGCCACAGAGGGTGTAATCACGTTCACGGCACAGAGGGTGTAATCACGTTCACGGCACAGAGGGTGTAATCACGTTCACGCCACAGAGGGTGTAATCACGTTCACGGCACAGAGGGTGTAATCACGTTCACGGCACAGAGGGTGTAATCACGTTCACGGCACAGAGGGTGTAATCACGTTCACGGCACAGAGGGTGTAATCACGTTCACGGCACAGAGGGTGTAATCACGTTCACGCCACAGAGGGTGTAATCACGTTCACGGCACAGAGGGTGTAATCACGTTCACGGCACAGAGGGTGTAATCACGTTCACGGCACAGAGGGTGAAATCACGTTCACGGCACAGAGGGTGAAATCACGTTCACGCCACAGAGGGTGTAATCACGTTCACGCCACAGAGGGTGTAATCACGTTCACGCCACAGAGGGTGTAATCACGTTCACGCCACAGAGGGTGTAATCACGTTCACGGCACAGAGGGTGTAATCACGTTCACGGCACAGAGGGTGTAATCACGTTCACGCCACAGAGGGTGTAATCACGTTCACGGCACAGAGGGTGTAATCACGTTCACGGCACAGAGGGTGTAATCACGTTCACGCCACAGAGGGTGAAATCACGTTCACGCCACAGAGGGTGTAATCACGTTCACGGCACAGAGGGTGTAATCACGTTCACGGCACAGAGGGTGTAATCACGTTCACGCCACAGAGGGTGTAATCACGTTCACGCCACAGAGGGTGAAATCACGTTCACGGCACAGAGGGTGTAATCACGTTCACGGCACAGAGGGTGTAATCACGTTCACGGCACAGAGGGTGTAATCACGTTCACGCCACAGAGGGTGTAATCACGTTCACGGCACAGAGGGTGTAATCACGTTCACGGCACAGAGGGTGTAATCACGTTCACGCCACAGAGGGTGTAATCACGTTCACGGCACAGAGGGTGTAATCACGTTCACGGCACAGAGGGTGTAATCACGTTCACGGCACAGAGGGTGTAATCACGTTCACGGCACAGAGGGTGTAATCACGTTCACGGCACAGAGGGTGTAATCACGTTCACGCCACAGAGGGTGTAATCACGTTCACGGCACAGAGGGTGTAATCACGTTCACGGCACAGAGGGTGTAATCACGTTCACGGCACAGAGGGTGAAATCACGTTCACGGCACAGAGGGTGAAATCACGTTCACGCCACAGAGGGTGTAATCACGTTCACGCCACAGAGGGTGTAATCACGTTCACGCCACAGAGGGTGTAATCACGTTCACGCCACAGAGGGTGTAATCACGTTCACGGCACAGAGGGTGTAATCACGTTCACGGCACAGAGGGTGTAATCACGTTCACGCCACAGAGGGTGTAATCACGTTCACGGCACAGAGGGTGTAATCACGTTCACGGCACAGAGGGTGTAATCACGTTCACGCCACAGAGGGTGAAATCACGTTCACGCCACAGAGGGTGTAATCACGTTCACGGCACAGAGGGTGTAATCACGTTCACGGCACAGAGGGTGTAATCACGTTCACGCCACAGAGGGTGTAATCACGTTCACGCCACAGAGGGTGAAATCACGTTCACGGCACAGAGGGTGTAATCACGTTCACGGCACAGAGGGTGAAATCACGTTCACGCCACAGAGGGTGTAATCACGTTCACGGCACAGAGGGTGTAATCACGTTCACGCCACAGAGGGTGTAATCACGTTCACGGCACAGAGGGTGTAATCACGTTCACGCCACAGAGGGTGTAATCACGTTCACGCCACAAAGGGTGTAATCACGTTCACGGCACAGAGGGTGTAATCACGTTCACGGCACAGAGGGTGTAATCACGTTCACGCCACAGAGGGTGTAATCACGTTCACGCCACAGAGGGTGTAATCACGTTCACGGCACAGAGGGTGTAATCACGTTCACGGCACAGAGGGTGTAATCACGTTCACGGCACAGAGGGTGCAATCACGTTCACGCCACAGAGGGTGAAATCACGTTCACGGCACAGAGGGTGTAATCACGTTCACGGCACAGAGGGTGAAATCACGTTCACGGCACAGAGGGTGAAATCACGTTCACGCCACAGAGGGTGTAATCACGTTCACGCCACAGAGGGTGTAATCACGTTCACGCCACAGAGGGTGTAATCACGTTCACGCCACAGAGGGTGTAATCACGTTCACGGCACAGAGGGTGTAATCACGTTCACGGCACAGAGGGTGTAATCACGTTCACGGCACAGAGGGTGTAATCACGTTCACGGCACAGAGGGTGTAATCACGTTCACGGCACAGAGGGTGTAATCACGTTCACGGCACAGAGGGTGTAATCACGTTCACGGCACAGAGGGTGTAATCACGTTCACGGCACAGAGGGTGTAATCACGTTCACGGCACAGAGGGTGTAATCACGTTCACGGCACAGAGGGTGAAATCACGTTCACGGCACAGAGGGTGAAATCACGTTCACGCCACAGAGGGTGTAATCACGTTCACGCCACAGAGGGTGAAATCACGTTCACGCCACAGAGGGTGAAATCACGTTCACGGCACAGAGGGTGAAATCACGTTCACGCCGCAGAGGGTGTAATCACGTTCACGGCACAGAGGGTGTAATCACGTTCACGGCACAGAGGGTGTAATCACGTTCACGGCACAGAGGGTGTAATCACGTTCACGGCACAGAGGGTGTAATCACGTTCACGCCACAGAGGGTGTAATCACGTTCACGGCACAGAGGGTGTAATCACGTTCACGGCACAGAGGGTGTAATCACGTTCACGCCACAGAGGGTGTAATCACGTTCACGGCACAGAGGGTGTAATCACGTTCACGGCACAGAGGGTGTAATCACGTTCACGGCACAGAGGGTGTAATCACGTTCACGGCACAGAGGGTGTAATCACGTTCACGGCACAGAGGGTGTAATCACGTTCACGCCACAGAGGGTGTAATCACGTTCAGGGCACAGAGGGTGTAATCACGTTCACGCCACAGAGGGTGTAATCACGTTCACGGCACAGAGGGTGTAATCACGTTCACGGCACAGAGGGTGAAATCACGTTCACGGCACAGAGGGTGAAATCACGTTCACGCCACAGAGGGTGTAATCACGTTCACGCCACAGAGGGTGTAATCACGTTCACGCCACAGAGGGTGTAATCACGTTCACGCCACAGAGGGTGTAATCACGTTCACGGCACAGAGGGTGTAATCACGTTCACGGCACAGAGGGTGTAATCACGTTCACGGCACAGAGGGTGTAATCACGTTCACGGCACAGAGGGTGTAATCACGTTCACGGCACAGAGGGTGTAATCACGTTCACGCCACAGAGGGTGAAATCACGTTCACGCCACAGAGGGTGTAATCACGTTCACGGCACAGAGGGTGTAATCACGTTCACGGCACAGAGGGTGTAATCACGTTCACGCCACAGAGGGTGTAATCACGTTCACGCCACAGAGGGTGAAATCACGTTCACGCCACAGAGGGTGAAATCACGTTCACGCCACAGAGGGTGTAATCACGTTCACGGCACAGAGGGTGTAATCACGTTCACGCCACAGAGGGTGTAATCACGTTCACGGCACAGAGGGTGTAATCACGTTCACGGCACAGAGGGTGAAATCACGTTCACGGCACAGAGGGTGAAATCACGTTCACGCCACAGAGGGTGTAATCACGTTCACGCCACAGAGGGTGTAATCACGTTCACGCCACAGAGGGTGTAATCACGTTCACGCCACAGAGGGTGTAATCACGTTCACGGCACAGAGGGTGTAATCACGTTCACGGCACAGAGGGTGTAATCACGTTCACGGCACAGAGGGTGTAATCACGTTCACGGCACAGAGGGTGTAATCACGTTCACGGCACAGAGGGTGTAATCACGTTCACGCCACAGAGGGTGAATCACGTTCACGCCACAGAGGGTGTAATCACGTTCACGGCACAGAGGGTGTAATCACGTTCACGGCACAGAGGGTGTAATCACGTTCACGCCACAGAGGGTGTAATCACGTTCACGCCACAGAGGGTGAAATCACGTTCACGCCACAGAGGGTGAAATCACGTTCACGCCACAGAGGGTGTAATCACGTTCACGGCACAGAGGGTGTAATCACGTTCACGGCACAGAGGGTGTAATCACGTTCACGGCACAGAGGGTGTAATCACGTTCACGGCACAGAGGGTGTAATCACGTTCACGGCACAGAGGGTGTAATCACGTTCACGGCACAGAGGGTGTAATCACGTTCACGGCACAGAGGGTGTAATCACGTTCACGGCACAGAGGGTGTAATCACGTTCACGGCACAGAGGGTGTAATCACGTTCACGGCACAGAGGGTGTAATCACGTTCACGGCACAGAGGGTGTAATCACGTTCACGGCACAGAGGGTGTAATCACGTTCACGGCACAGAGGGTGAAATCACGTTCACGCCACAGAGGGTGTAATCACGTTCACGGCACAGAGGGTGTAATCACGTTCACGGCACAGAGGGTGTAATCACGTTCACGCCACAGAGGGTGTAATCACGTTCACGCCACAGAGGGTGAATCACGTTCACGGCACAGAGGGTGTAATCACGTTCACGGCACAGAGGGTGAAATCACGTTCACGCCACAGAGGGTGTAATCACGTTCACGGCACAGAGGGTGTAATCACGTTCACGGCACAGAGGGTGTAATCACGTTCACGGCACAGAGGGTGTAATCACGTTCACGCCACAGAGGGTGTAATCACGTTCACGCCACAGAGGGTGTAATCACGTTCACGGCACAGAGGGTGTAATCACGTTCACGGCACAGAGGGTGTAATCACGTTCACGGCACAGAGGGTGTAATCACGTTCACGGCACAGAGGGTGTAATCACGTTCACGGCACAGAGGGTGTAATCACGTTCACGGCACAGAGGGTGTAATCACGTTCACGGCACAGAGGGTGTAATCACGTTCACGGCACAGAGGGTGTAATCACGTTCACGCCACAGAGGGTGAAATCACGTTCACGCCACAGAGGGTGAAATCACGTTCACGCCACAGAGGGTGTAATCACGTTCACGGCACAGAGGGTGTAATCACGTTCACGGCACAGAGGGTGTAATCACGTTCACGGCACAGAGGGTGTAATCACGTTCACGGCACAGAGGGTGTAATCACGTTCACGGCACAGAGGGTGTAATCACGTTCACGGCACAGAGGGTGTAATCACGTTCACGGCACAGAGGGTGTAATCACGTTCACGGCACAGAGGGTGTAATCACGTTCACGGCACAGAGGGTGAAATCACGTTCACGGCACAGAGGGTGAAATCACGTTCACGCCACAGAGGGTGTAATCACGTTCACGCCACAGAGGGTGTAATCACGTTCACGCCACAGAGGGTGTAATCACGTTCACGCCACAGAGGGTGTAATCACGTTCACGGCACAGAGGGTGTAATCACGTTCACGGCACAGAGGGTGTAATCACGTTCACGGCACAGAGGGTGTAATCACGTTCACGGCACAGAGGGTGTAATCACGTTCACGGCACAGAGGGTGTAATCACGTTCACGGCACAGAGGGTGTAATCACGTTCACGGCACAGAGGGTGTAATCACGTTCACGGCACAGAGGGTGTAATCACGTTCACGGCACAGAGGGTGTAATCACGTTCACGGCACAGAGGGTGTAATCACGTTCACGGCACAGAGGGTGTAATCACGTTCACGGCACAGAGGGTGTAATCACGTTCACGGCACAGAGGGTGTAATCACGTTCACGGCACAGAGGGTGTAATCACGTTCACGGCACAGAGGGTGAAATCACGTTCACGGCACAGAGGGTGAAATCACGTTCACGCCACAGAGGGTGTAATCACGTTCACGCCACAGAGGGTGTAATCACGTTCACGCCACAGAGGGTGTAATCACGTTCACGCCACAGAGGGTGTAATCACGTTCACGGCACAGAGGGTGTAATCACGTTCACGGCACAGAGGGTGTAATCACGTTCACGGCACAGAGGGTGTAATCACGTTCACGGCACAGAGGGTGTAATCACGTTCACGGCACAGAGGGTGTAATCACGTTCACGGCACAGAGGGTGTAATCACGTTCACGGCACAGAGGGTGTAATCACGTTCACGGCACAGAGGGTGTAATCACGTTCACGGCACAGAGGGTGTAATCACGTTCACGGCACAGAGGGTGTAATCACGTTCACGGCACAGAGGGTGTAATCACGTTCACGGCACAGAGGGTGTAATCACGTTCACGGGGAGTTTTCACTTTGCGAGCCCTCACAAGTCAACCCCTCTGCCACCCCCCTCTGCCACCCCCCTCTGCCACCCCCCTCTGCCACCCCCCTCTGCCACCCCCCTCTGCTCCCTCCCCACCCATTCCCCCCGCCATGGACGCGCTGTCAGCCTCGCGCATGCCACCAGAGGAGGTGGCCAACAGCACACCACCTTGACTCCTGACATACTCTAAGAGGCAAATGCAATCGCTCTGCGCCTCCGCTGCTCCCTCCCCACCCATTCCCCCCGCCATGGACGCGCTGTCAGCCTCGCGCATGCCACCAGAGGAGGTGGCCAACAGCACACCACCTTGACTCCTGACATACTCTAAGAGGCAAATGCAATCGCTCTGCGCCTCCGCTGCTCCCTCCCCACCCATTCCCCCCGCCATGGACGCGCTGTCAGCCTCGCGCATGCCACCAGAGGAGGTGGCCAACAGCACACCACCTTGACTCCTGACATACTCTAAGAGGCAAATGCAATCGCTCTGCGCCTCCGCTGCTCCCTCCCCACCCATTCCCCCCGCCATGGACGCGCTGTCAGCCTCGCGCATGCCACCAGAGGAGGTGGCCAACAGCACACCACCTTGACTCCTGACATACTCTAAGAGGCAAATGCAATCGCTCTGCGCCTCCGCTGCTCCCTCCCCACCCATTCCCCCCGCCATGGACGCGCTGTCAGCCTCGCGCATGCCACCAGAGGAGGTGGCCAACAGCACACCACCTTGACTCCTGACATACTCTAAGAGGCAAATGCAATCGCTCTGCGCCTCCGCTGCTCCCTCCCCACCCATTCCCCCCGCCATGGACGCGCTGTCAGCCTCGCGCATGCCACCAGAGGAGGTGGCCAACAGCACACCACCTTGACTCCTGACATACTCTAAGAGGCAAATGCAATCGCTCTGCGCCTCCGCTGCTCCCTCCCCACCCATTCCCCCCGCCATGGACGCGCTGTCAGCCTCGCGCATGCCACCAGAGGAGGTGGCCAACAGCACACCACCTTGACTCCTGACATACTCTAAGAGGCAAATGCAATCGCTCTGCGCCTCCGCTGCTCCCTCCCCACCCATTCCCCCCGCCATGGACGCGCTGTCAGCCTCGCGCATGCCACCAGAGGAGGTGGCCAACAGCACACCACCTTGACTCTTGACAAACTCTAAGAGGCAAATGCAATCGCTCTGCGCCTCCGCTGCTCCCTCCCCACCCATTCCCCCCGCCATGGACGCGCTGTCAGCCTCGCGCATGCCACTAGACGAGGCAGTTCACGGCTCACTGAATTGACTTTCGTGATCTTTCAAGAATCAAACCCCAATTCTCTGCCACTCCACTGCTTCCTCCCTGCCCTTATCCCCCCTCCCCACCCATTCCCCCCGCCATCAGGATGCGATGGAAGCGCTATCGGCATCGCGCATGCTGCCAGAGGAGGCGGTGAGCGGCATGCGGGAGGGGCTGGCGAGGCAGCAGAGGGACGAGCTGCCGGTGCTGGCGGGGCCGGACAAGATGGTGGGCGAGCAGATCATCGCGTATGCCCTGCAGTTCTTCCCTGTGAGTGCTGGGATTTTGGGGTTTTTAGGGCTAAGTGCTGAGCTCTTAGGGAGAAGAGCTGCTGGTGCTGGCAGGGCCTGACAAGATGGTGGGCGAGCAGATCATTGCGTATGCCCTGCAGTTCTTCCCTGTGAGTGCTGGGATTCTTCTCAGTGAAATGGTTCTGGTGAGGCGGCAGCGGGAGGAGCTGCTTGGCCTGTGCTGGCAGGGCTTGGTGGCAGGGCATGGTGGCAGGGCATGGTGGCAGGGCATGGTGGCAGGGCATGGTGGGCGAGCATGGTGGGCGAGCATGGTGGGCGAGCATGGTGGGCGAGCATGGTGGCAAGGCATGGTGGGCGAGCAGATTATCGCTTGCAGTCTGCAGCTCGTCCGGGCGAAAGCTGCAGTTCTCATTTCACTCCTGTGTTGCTGCATCAATCTGTCTTGGCTTCTCGTTTCCTTCTCTTCTTCCCCTCCTTCTTCCCCTCCTTCCCCTCCTTCCCCTTCTTCCCCTCCTTCCCCTCCTTCCTCTCCTTCCCCTCCTTCTCCCCCTCGTCTGCTGTTCCCTACTTTAACCGCTTTGTTCTTACTCAATCCGCGCTCTCCCGTGTCCCCTGCCTGTATTTCTGTCTGGCTGTCTGTCTGCCTGTCTGCCTGTCTGCCTGTCTGCCTGTCTGCCTGTCTGCCTGTCTGCCTGTCTGCCTGTCTGCCTGTCTGCCTGTCTGCCTGTCTGCCTGTCTGCCTGTCTCCAGCCGGTCTCGGAAACCAGTGCCGCTGTCAGTGCAGCAGGTTCCCTCCCTGGCACCCCGGGCTCTGCACACTCGCACCAACACACCGACCACCAACACCAGCAGCAGCACCAGCAGCAGCAGCAAGCTCCCCACACGCACCCATCCCATGCCAGCACCCACCACCCTCACCACCACCACCACCACCAACACCACCAGCACCACGAGCACCATCAGCAGCAGCAGCAGCAGCAGCAACGGCAATCAGGAGCAGCAGGAGGGTGGTGGCCTCTCCAGGCGTCTCTTTCACGACGGTGAGCAGGCAGGCGCCCTCCCTGCTTCCCACGCCGGTGCCACCTCCTCTCCTGCGCGACACTCCACCTCTTCTGCTCCTGCTGGTACTGCTGCTGCTGCTGCTGCTGCTGCAGCACACCACCCGTCCTCCCCCTCGCGCCACAGTGCCACTGGTTCCCCCTCCCGCCGCCCGTCTTCCCCTTCGCGCCGCCCGTCCTCTCCCTCCCGCTCGTCCCTTTCCCACGTCTCGCCATCTCAAGGCGGTCAGGCACTGCAAGAGAGGGCAGGGGCAGGGGGCGCAGCAGCAGCAGGTGCAGCAGCAGCAGGGGGGAGCTCCCTGTGGAGTCAAGTGACTGGGCTGGTGGATGGGCTGGGGCGAGGTACAGCAGAGGGAGCAGACGGAGCAGTGGGAGGGGGATCAGGACGGGAAGGGGGAGGGGGGAGTGCTGCTGCTGGCGTGTCTATGGGAGGGGAGGGGGACGGTATGCCAGCCACAGCAGCAGGAGCAGGAGGAGCAGGGCCAGCTGCAGGAGCAGGAGGGGCAGTGGCAGGAGGTAGTGTGGCGGCAAGGCAGGAGGAGGTGCGGAGGAGGGCGGAGCAGGAGGGGGTGAGGGAGTGGACGGCGGTGCAGCTGAACAGTGCCGAGGGGCCGCTCGTCATCAAGTGCGGGGCCACCCACCACCTCCAACTCGCCATTAAATACTCTTCCGCTGATGCTGGTGCTGGTGCTGGTGCTGGTGCTGCTGCTGCGTTTGCAGCTAAGACTACATCGGGGTCTCTCGAACCGGACACTCTTTCCATCCTACCTGACCCATCTTCCCTCTCCGGACTCTCTCTTGACCGGATTCGGTCGGTGCTCTCGCCGCTCCTCCCTGCTCCCATCGTCCACGTCATCGTTGCCAAGTCAGCAAACGCCACACGGGCGCGCTACGGCCGGATCCACTCCACCCTCGCCGCCCGCGTGCCGGTCCTACGTGGCGCTCCCAGCAGCACCGGCCCCGCCACGTCACGCGCTGCGGAGTCGCCGACCACTGTCGCGCGGCCAACTGGCAGCTACAGTGCCGCGAGCACTCCCGGGCGGGGCGTTTCGTCTGGTGTGGGATGGGGAGGCGGCGTGAAAGGGGGGAGGAGGAGCACAGGAGTAGGGGGCGTGGGGGGGTCGATAGGGGGGCGAGGGGATGTGGTAGAGCTTGAAGGGAGGAGCTGGTCCAGAGGGGCGTCTCTTGCCAACTCGGTTGCTGCCACTCCTATTTCCTCAAGCCCCTTGCATGGGCCGATGCGAGGGGGATCAGGCATGGTGGGAGGGAGTGTGCGGATGAGTTTAGATGCCGGTGCTGGTGGGGAAGTGGGAGGGGGAGCGGTGGGAGGGAAGTCTCTAAAAAAAAGCTCGAGCATGCATGAGTTTCCGGATGGCTTGTAGGGTGGATGGGTTGCGTCCGTCCTCGCACACACTGTCAATTTGGTTGCCAGGTAGCATTCGGTTGGTTGGTAGGGTAGCTCCTGTGTTGCAAGTGTAGACTCATGCATGATCCAACCCAGTCTCCACCCACTGTGCTGAGTTGAATCCCACAGGATATTAGTGACTCAATCCCCTTCCACTGTAGTAAATTACCTCTGTTCTGCGGGCTAGCTGTGTACTTGATACCCCATAGTGCCGTGTGTAGCAATTGCCGGATGCCCAAACAAGGCACAAATGTGCTCTATGCTGGTGGAAGCTACTGCCGTACATGACTTCAATGTTTCTGACTCAAATTAAAACACATTTGAGTCAATTCAAAAGCACCGATATCCTACGATACTAATTCAGCCCCAATAAGTTTGAGAAACTTCAGGATATGGTAATCCAATTTGACAGGAAACGAAGCGACTGCTGTACATACCACTAGCAAACAAAGAAACAACGCTAGGGAGGGAAGAAGAGCAAGGAGTGTTCACAGCGGGTCCGTGCCACCACACGAACCGCACCACAGCCCCCAAGCCGGCTTGACCCGGAAATTACGGTAGCTACCAGGGACCTCCAACTCTCCAGACGCAAAACATGACTGCTTCAGCATCTAAGGTAACTATCACGCTTCCTAATTGACATTCCCGTTTAGGCCTCCCTCCTTTCCGTATCAGCTTCCAGGTGTCTTCATGCTGGTATGAAAACATCAGTGGTGGGGGTCCTCCTCACCCCCACACCAGATATCCCAGAACCGTTAAGTCTTCAGTGGTACGGGTCGACCACCAGATGCAGTGGCTGACGCTCCTCCTCCTCGTCCTCCAGCAGACGCCGACCTGAGCGACAGGGTGCAGTGCGGTGGGAATGGTTGGGGAGTGATGCATTGGGAAGATGGGACGGTGTTGGAAGATTGAGGCATTGGGAGAGGGTGGTCGTATGGGTTTTGAGGGGTAGGAAGAGGTGATGGAGATAGGGGGAAGCTTCTCAGGAAGCACAGCATGCACTTCTAGATGGTCAAAGCAAGCAGGCTCACTGGCTTCACTGTCAGCTTTTGCCACCGATCAACATGGCAGCTTTTGCACACCTCACCAGCCAGGGCTGTCCATACAGCAAGCAACGCAGCAATCAGGTAGTCCGGCCGGCCAAAGCAGCCGGTGCCAAAGCACCACTAAAGATAGCCCCACTATTTCTTTGGTCCACCCATTACCAACCAGAAAATGCCATGCATGAAATCAGCAGGAGCGCAACTCCGTTCTTAAGAGATAGTCCCCTGCGAGTACCCACTTTTGAGGCGCCCCACACCAGCGCCCTCTGTCTATCCACCATGCCTGCACTACACTGCGCAGACCGCATCTCACAACTCACATGCAAATGCCACGCGTGCGATACGAAGGAACGCCAGCACCCACCTACAGCACAAGGTGAAACCCCCACCAGCACCCCTTTCACCATGACTGGCGCCCACTGTCACTATCCGTCATTTCTGCCTGCACTGCAAGCACCATACCCTCACCAGCAAACGAGTCCTGAAGCTCACTTGCAAACGCCATGCACGCGATGAGCAGGAAGGCGACCCCATACAGCACGAAGTACCCCCCCACCAGCACACCTTCAGTCTGTAACCAGCATGCACTATGTATCCACTTTGGCTGCCTACAATGCACATGCCATGCCCTACGACTCACCAGCATACGCCATGCATGCGATGAGCAGGAAGGCAACGCCGTACAGCAGGAGGTCTCCCCACACCTGCACCCCTCCCTCCTGCACATGTCCCCCCCAACTCACCAGCATACGCCATGCATGCGATGAGCAGGAAGGCCACGCCATAGAGCACGAGGTACCCCCCCACCAGCACCCCCTGCGCCCACTTCGGCGTGTTGGCATCAAAGCCAAAATACGCCACCCCGGCCAGCCCCATCCCCACCACCGCCGTCACCACCAGCACCACATAAGACGAAACGAGGCTCCAAAGGGCGGCGAGAAACAGCTTGGAGAGCGCCTGGGCGGCGAGCCAGAGGGAGATGATGAGGAGGAAGCTGTTGGAGGGGCCTTGCAGCAGCCAGGCGCCGAAGGCTGCGTGCACGGCTGCCAGCAGCACGAGGGCAATGGCTCCTGGCGCTGTGAAGAGCACTAGCGCGTGTAACCCAGTTACCAGCCCCATGGCAATGAGCAGCCCGCCTGGTGGGTGGTAGAAGAAAGAGGAGGGGGAGACATACAAGCGGAAGGATGAAAGACACATGTATGATCCCGTGCCCTTTTTGAGAGTTTCAAACGTCGCTGTCAACCTATCAAGGCAAATTCTCGTTACAGGAGTGGTGCCTCTTGGGGGAGTTAAAACGTCAGACATCAACCTCGTGTGCGGTGGGTGGCGCATCCCTAGAGGTGGTGTGCGGTGTGGGGGGTAGTGGCAGTGGTGGCATGCCTATGTCCCACCCACTTGGGCGGGAGGGGGCGCGCACTAGCAAACCAAATGAGGCTGCAGTGACGGATACCAAGATGAACGCACCTAGTGACCACCTGGTTACCACCTGGTTACCATCTAGTGACCACCTGGTTGGTTACCACCTAGTGACACCTGGTTACCACCTAGTGACCACCTGGTTACCACCTGGTTACCATCTAGTGACCACCTGGTTGGTTACCACCTAGTGACACCTGGTTACCACCTAGTGACGACATGGTTACCACCTAGTGACCACCTGGTTACCACCTAGTGACCACCTGGTTACCACCTAGCAGGAAGTAGGCACATGAACGCACCTAGCAGGGGCTGCAGAGAGACTGAAGACACCACGGCGAGGGCAATGACGGCCACCCCTGCCAGCAGCACCGCTGCCCTTGGGATGCACAGGAGGGATGGGAGAAGGGGGGTGGGAGGGGTGTGGGGGGTGGGAGGAGAAGGGGAGTGGGAGAAGAAGGGGAGTGGGAGGAGAAGGGGGGTGGGAGGAGAAGGGGGGTGGGAGGAGAAGGGGGGTGGGAGGAGGAGGGGGGTGGGAGGAGAAGGGGAGTGGGAGGAGAAGGGGGGTGGGAGGAACGATTCTTGAGTCGACTCGAAAATCGACTTGAGGCACCACGGAGAGGGCAATGAGGGCCACCCCTGCCAGCAGCACCGCTGCCCTTGGGATGCACGGGAGGGATGGGACTCGGTGCGAAGGTGGGATGGACGGGAGGAACGGGAGGGGTGGGAGGGGTAGGAGGGATGGGGGTGGATGAGATGTGTGGGAGAGATGAGAGGAATGCGGAAGTATCTGAGGGGTGGACGCAATGACAATGGATGGGAGGGATGTTATAGAGAGGAGGCCATTATCACCGCGGGTGGTAAGTCACAGGAACAGTTAGGCTGTACCCACCTACGCCGTTCTGGCCATACCCATCCTACACATGCCCAAGCAAACAACCAGTTATGGCCATGTGGAGCCCATAGCAGCGGTTGGAGGAGAGCAGGCGGCTGAGCGCGTCTCCTCCAGCAAGCAAGTCAGCTTGTGGTCAGCTTATACCATATGCCCTTATGGTCGCCTCTCCCCTCACCTCACCCACGCCGTAGCAATCGCTCCCTAGAATCTCGCCTCACCCAGCCCGTGGCACTGGTTGGAGGAGTGCAGGCGGGAGAGCGCCTCGTGATCCAGCTCGCCAGAGAGAGGCCGCACGCCCACACACAAGCTCGTTTTACCCGTGGTTTCCCGTCATACAGAGGTCATAACATTCACCCCTCGCCTCACCGAGCCCGTACCGCACACCCACACAGAAGCTCGTTTTACGTTTTACCCGTAATTTTTGGTCATAGAGAGGTCATAACATTCACCCCTCGCCTCACCGAGCCCGTACCGCACACCCACACAGAAGCTCGTTTTACGTTTTACCCGTAATTTTTGGTCATAGAGAGGTCATAACATTCACCCCTCGCCTCACCCAGCCCGTAGCACTGGTTGGAGGAGTGCAGGCGGGAGAGGGCCTCGTGGTCCAGCTCGCCAGAGAGGGGCCGCACGCCCACGCGCAGGCGGAAAACACCGCGTGGCTTCACCACCATGCCCTGCCAGGAGTTCCACCCCCAGGTTCCCGCCTTACCCATGCCATAGCACTGGTTGGAGGAGTGCAGGCGGGAGAGCGCCTCGTGGTCCAGCTCGCCAGAGAGAGGCCGCACGCCCACGCGCAGGCGAAACACACTGTCAGGCTTCACCATCATGCCCGCTCGCGATATCGACACCGTCACCGCTCCCTCTGCAGCAGGACCACCCATCCCACCACCACCGCCAGCAGCACCAGCGCCAGCGCCAGCAGTGACAGCAGCGCCTTCGCCAGTCTCGCGGCCCCACGCGCCCTGCCGCTGCTGCTCCTCTGTAGAGGAGAGAGGGAGGTGGATGGGATGGGCCGTGCGCACTGCCGCCAGGTGGGGTGGCAGCGGCTGCAGCTGCGGCTGGGGGGGTTGCTGAGGCTGCTGCGGCTGCTGGGGCTGTGGGGGAGGCGGGGGCTGCGCCTGGCGCTCCTTGGGCGGAGTGGGGTGTACAGGCTGCCCCAGCCCGGGAGGCTGCAGGTGGGGCGCGGGGATGGGCGGGGACGGCTGCCTCTCCCGCGGAGGCGTCCCCAGCGGGGGCGTGGGCTGCCTCTGGAGGCCTCCGCCAGCGCCAGCGCCCGCGCGCGGAGCCTCCGCGGATGGGTGCGGCGGAGGGCGCGCGCTGCTGGCGAAGGGCGCGGGGGGAGGCGCCTCCGCAATTTCTCCGTGGCGGGGGAAGCCCGTGGGGAGGCGGGTCTCGGATGTCGGGCCGAGCTCCTCCCTGCCGCCTTTTCCGCGTTCCATGGAGGGGAACTAGCCTTTCAACAACCGTATGCGTAGGGCGACTAGCCTGTTAGCACCGGTGCCGTAAGCGTGAGGAAGCGACGCGAGGATGGGGTCTGCTGTAGCGAAGAGCAGAAAGCAAGAGGAGGAGATGAAAGCAAAGGCAGGCTGTTATGAGAAGTGCCGGGATTTGCGTCCGTCTGTCGGACTGCGCGTGAGTCTGTCTGTCCGTCTGCCTGTCCTGTCTGACCCTGTTCCCCGCCTTCACTGTCAGAATTCGGGCGAGGCGGGTCCAGGGTTGCGGAGACTCCGGATTGGCTTCCCGCGGAGATCGGACCCGCGGGAATCCATGCCGCGATGGCGGCGCCGCGAGGCAGCCCCGGTTTAGCCATGGCGATCGTCGGATGATGATGGCGACGGGATGGATCACATGAGACGCACGATGAGAAAGACATCACCGTGAAGAGAACGAAGCTAGTGATGCGGAGTCGCGTGGTGATGGTCAGGCTGATCGAATGGTGGAATGGAGAAGAGAAGGTGGAGGGAGTGCATGCAGCGCACTTCACGTCGATGCCGTAATGAGTCAATGCAGGAAGGCTCTCTGAATTTCTAGAAACGCGCGCATGTCGTGTGCGTCGCTGGTCCTCTGAGCTGTTACGATGTGCACCGCGCAGAACGTGTCGCACAGCGGTGCGGTGAATAGCTTGCATGACGATGACATGGCTTTGGCTGGTAGTATGTTTGTTTTGGAGAAGGGAGATTGGGCCTGGCAATGCTGATTCGACATGGTTCTTATGAAGACGTGGATAGGGCACAGTTAATTATGATTCTATAAATTTCACCGATATGTGAACCGACCAATGCAACAAAGAGCTCTAAGAAGATCATGCAAATAGTATTTAGTTTCGTTTCAAACAAAACTTCATTAGAGTTTACTGATTTTATTGAGTATTAAGATTTTGGAAAAGATTCCCAGTTCCCACCATCGGGGCATCGGCCTCTGACCGCACATCACATCATATAGTTAATACTATTATGAATATACATTTCGATAATACGAGCAGTTGGCGTCTAACGGTTTGTTGTCAGGCGAATATAGCTGGGGATCTGAATGCTGGGTGACAGATTCTCTACGCCGTCATGTCAGCGTCGATAAGCCACGGCAATTGGTGGAGAAGAACAGTCCACAAAGCTCACGCGCAAGATATTCTGTGGATTGACAGAATCCACCCACCGTCGCCACTGGCTCCACAGCTAAGGTCCCTGTCCACAACTTCAGCCACCTCAGACACAGTACCCTTTGCAAGTCGTTTTTTATGATGATTGGACGAGGCCTTATCCACAAAGTGGTTTTGGTACGGCAAGTGATCTGTAACCTGTGGCCACAGAACTTTGAGAGAGGGTGCAGTAACTAGTGGTTGCTGATGACTTTCAATTGCACACAACTCTCGAGCAAAACTTTCAATGTCCCCCCAGGAAGCAAATTCTTCCATTTCCTCAGGGCTTGTCCAGTCCAGCCATCTTGTGTCCTCTCGGTCTCAAGGCAATGTCGCCCATGAAAACGGGAGTTCACATTCACAAGAAGTCATTCCACAACAAAAGCTTTGCATTGGTGTTGTGTCGCTTGTTGGTGAGCATTTGGTGAGCAGTCCCGGTCGGACATTACTGTACATTCCAACCCAAGAACAAAACATGAAGAGCACATGTTTGAACAAGATTGGCTAACAAACCTCGCCTGTACTTTCTGGCAGAAATTTTTTAACTTTGTCGAGTCATTAAACAGCTGTACGTACAGTACAGTAAATTCCATCCAAAAAAAATATCGACGACGATATTCGAGGAACATCCGTCAGCAGCAACAGGCACACCCCCCCCCATCGTCATCGCCCATGGAGTTCCGCGTGGGTTGGTTGATCAACAGATGTGATGTGATTCCCATCCCATCTCGTCCCATCCCAACCCAAGCCCAAAGCCAAGCATGGCTAGAGTTGCTCCATTCTTCTCAGGAAAGTTGATCAAGGGTTTGCAGTTCGTGAAGCTGTTAGTGGTTCCTTCTCGGAGATTCCAACAGTCTGAACTCTTCCATTGCCTGCAAAGAGGAATCCTCTTACACGAAAGTGGCTCGATTAGTAGCAGAAGTTGTTATCTTTCCGTATCGCTAGTGTCGTTTCCCTTCAGACCTCAAGCGAATTTGGGGCGGTAAAGATGAGGCTATTCGGTCGTGGTAACACCACAGGACAATTGACAGCGGAAGCAGCGTCATCCTCAGCAACAGATACTGCTGGAACTGCTGATAACCCAACTCCGCTTCCTCCGCTCTTGGTTGTACCTCCCGCGTCGCCGTACAATGGCAGTCAAGCGAGTCAAAGCAGGTCAAGCGCTTGGGGTGGTAGCGGCACTGGCACGAACGGAACCACAAGCGCCAGCAGTGACGGATGCGGAACGGACGGCACGGATGGAACGGACGGTCTGGATGACTCATCGGATGAAGCCAACGGTGGAGAACCTCCGTCTTTCCTTTGCTTCGGCGGGAATCGCGGAATGTGGAACGTGGCGGATCGTGATTGGATGAGCCCCATGATTGGATACTTGCGACGCCGATGGAGAGGAAAAGGAGGGGCCGCCGTCGGGAATTGCGAAGAAATCGGCGGAGTGGGAGAATCGGATCGAAAGAACGGAAGCGCGACGGTGGTAGACATTATCTCCCCTTCCGTCGGCGGCGGAGAGCACAGCCCTCGGTCGGACGGAAGCGGCAGAAAGAGCCTGCTTGCGCCCGCCGTGGGGAAAGGCGGAGCGGAAAAGGAGCCGCTGATTCCCTGGCGGAGGCGGTATCGGCGGAACAACCGCTACATCCGCCATCGGCGCGGGGAGGGCCCAGATGGATCCACGTGGCAGTACATGGGCGACCTGTTTAGCGTGCAGCGGTATCTGCGGATGAGTATGATGTGGCGCCACGTGTGCATCGCGATGTGGGTGCTGATAACTCTGGCGGCCGCCGCGGCCGTGTTCAGCGCGACGTACAAGAGCTTCCAAGACGAGCGCCAGGTGCGGCGGCTTTTGTTTCGATTCGACTCATTTTCGTGAACCAATTTTGTAGTTGACTCCAGCTGCGACCGTGTTTCATCGCGACATTTAGGAGTCTCGCGGCGCATCGGTGCGCGAACGGTTTTGAGGCTCGTGAGAGATCAATGCTGGCGCGCGGCGCCGCAAACACCGTGTTTGCCGCACGCCAGCAAACGTCGAACGTCTCAACATGCATTGCCTTGCACGTCGTGTCGTGTCGTGTCGTGTCGTGTCGTGTCGTCTTGCCTCGTAAGACCTCCCACCCACCCACCCATGATGGGCTGGGCTCCCCTGTCGATCGTGCCGTCGTGAGTAGGTGGCCGTCGTGAGTAGGTGGCCGTGGAGGCGAGTCGTACAATTAGAGGCTGCGACGCGTGCGAGGGGCTGCTTGCGGCGCCTCAGTTATTTTTTCAGTGCACATCACATCGCACGTCGCCTGATGCAGTTGACCTCATGCCCCTGTTGACTTCCCCCTGTTCTCCCCGTGCTCCCACCCGTGTTCTCCCCTGTATTCTCCCCCGTGTTATCCCCCGTGTTCTACCCGTTCTTTCCCCCATGGTTTCCCAGTGCAAGCACAGGCGGCTCTGGAGGTGGAGAGCGAGGCGTACAAAAAGTCGCTGCAGGCACCTCACTTATCGTTTCAGTGTGCATCGCACGTCCGTCGCCTCATGTGTGTGATGTCCCCCTTGGTGTTCCCCGTGGTGTTCCCCGTGGTGTTCCCCGTGGTGCCCCCCCGTGGTGCCCCCCCGTGGTGCCCCCCCGTGGTGTCCCCCGTGGTGCCCCCCCGTGGTGTTCCCCGCCATGCACAGGTGGCGTTAGTGGTGGAGTGCGAGGCGTACAAGAAGCTGCTGCAGGACCACTTCCTCGACACCTCCAACCAGGTATCACCGCTTTGCACACACCGCCAACCATGCAGGACCGCTTCGCAGACACCATGGACCATGCGAGTTCAGTTCAACTCCAATTATTGCTCTCGTCTCCACTTCTCTGTCTTTCCACTACCCACGACACCTCCCGTCTCCTGGCCTCTTTCTCTCTCTCCCACTGGCTGCTTGTAATGATGAAACTATTCAAGAGGCGCCTCTATTGTCGGCTCATTTCCTGCTGGCTGTCTCTTTCCCGCTGGCTGCTTGGGATGATGAAAGTATTCTTTTTTTCTTCTTCTTCTTTTTCATTTTTCTTTTCTTTTCTTTTCTTTTCTTTTCTTTTCTTTTCTTTTCTTTTCTTTTCTTTCTTTCTTTCTTTCTTTCTTATGAGTGAACACAGGAGGACATAAAATTTTCAAGTTGTGCCCCTAACTTCGCCTCATTTCCTGCTCGCTGTCTCTTTCCTGCTGGCTGCTGTGCAGATTCGCCTGCTGGCCAACCTGATGACCACGTTTCACTACAACAAGCCCCCAGGCACACTGGATAGGGTGAGTTGAAACGGTGGAGTGAGTTGAAACGGTGGAGTGAGTTGAAACGGTGGAGTGAGTTGAAACGGTGAGGTGAGTTGAAACGGTGAGGTGAGTTGAAACGGTGGAGTGAGGTGAAGCGATTTCATCTCCCTTTAATCCCCGCGCTCCACCCGCCGCCTCCCGTTTGGCCTTCCCCCTGTCCTCTCTCCTCTCCCCTCTCCCCTCTCCCCTCTCCCCTCTCCCCTCTCCCCTCTCCCCTCTTTCTCCCCCCTCCAACAGGCCACGTTCATCGGGTTCCTTAACGACACGCAGTACGCGCGTCCTCCTTCCTCGCACCGCGGCACCTTTTGAGGCGCCTCAAAAGTCCTCCTTCCTCACACCGCGGCACCTTTTTCCCGTTTGGCCTCTCCCCTGTCTTCTTCCCCCCCTTCACACCCCTTCTCCCCCTCCCCTCCCTCACCTCCCCCCAAGCCCTTTTTCTCCCACCTTCCCCCCAACCAACAGGCCACGTTCATGGGGTTTCTCAACATTGGGGTTTGACAACACAGAGTACGCGCGTCCGCGTTTGACCTTTGACTTGAATCCAAAGTCTTTTCTCCCCCCTCTCTCCCCCCTCTGTCTCCTCTCCTCCCATTTGGCCAGGCCACGTTCATGGGGTTCCTCAACGACACGCAGTACGCGCGTCCGCGTTTGAGGGACGTCTCGTTTGCCGCTAGTGTGCCGCGGGCAGAGAGGGGGGCGTTTGAGAAGGCGAAGGGGAGCGGCTTCTGCATCAAGTGAGCTTCCTTCCTTCCGTCTGCCTCTGCTGGTTTTCTGTGCGTGTGTGTGCTGCTCTGCGTGTGCTGCTCTGCGTGCATATCATGTGTGTGTGTGTGTGTGTGTGTGCGCGCGCGCTGCTCTGTGTCCTCTCCACTCGTTGTTCTCCCTTATTCCACCTCCTTCCGCCCCCACCTCCCCACCTCCTCTCCTACCCCCTTTCCGCCGTTCTCCCCCTCCCCGCGAGCCCAGGCATGACATGGCATGTGCGGAACAGCAGTCGGACTACGCGCCCATCCTCTACACCACACACCACCTCCTCTCCCTTCCCCACCTCCTCTCCCTTCCCCACCTCCTCTCCCTTCCCCACCTCCTCTCCCTTCCCCCTCTCCTCTCCTCACCCTCTCCCCCTCCCCGTGCGCCCAGGCATGACATGGCATGTGCGGAACAGCAGTCGGACTACGCGCTTTGCGTTGACTCAAAACACGGTCCCCCTTTCCCCCGCTCCCCCCCCGCGCGCCCAGGCATGACATGGCATGTGCGGAACAGCAGTCGGACTACGCGCCCATCGTCTACACCACGTCATCGCATGAGCTCATCGGACAAGACATGCTCTGGGGTGAGTGCGGGATGAGTGTGGGGTGAGTGCGGGATGAGTGTGGGGTGAGTGTGGGGTGAGTGTGGGGTGAGTGTGGGGTGAGTGTGGGGTGAGTGTGGGGTGAGTGTGGGGTGAGTGTGGGGTGAGTGTGGGGTGAGTGTGGGGTGAGTGTGGGGTGAGTGTGGGGTGAGTGGGGTGTGGGGGGAGAGGGGGCTCTTAGTATGACAGTGCACCTATCCTCTGCACCACACCACGTCCGCGATTTTTGAGGCGCCTCTAAAGATTTTTGAGACGATTTTTGAGGCGCCTCAAAACTGTGCACCTATCCTCTGCAGCACACCACGTCCGCGCACAAGCTTGTGACTTTTGAGTCGACTCAAAAGTCACCTCTGCAGCACACCACGTCCGCGCACGAGCTTGTCGGAACAAGGTTCATCGTGGAGTAGCTGCAAGCCTGTAGAAATCACTTCAGCAAGACTGTGCATCGTGGATCAAGACTGTGAAACACGTCCGCGCACGAGCTTGACGGAAAAGACGTGGGTGAGTCTGGGGTGGGACTAAGCGACCTCTTCCCTCCCCCTCCTCCTGCCCCTCTCCCTCCTCCCTCTCTCCCGTCCAGACGCGTTCCCAGCCAACAGGGAGGCAGTGATCCGGGCGCGCGACCAGGGCGTGATGGGGGCGCTCACCCCGCCGCTGCAGATGGCAGTCGACTCCATGGGGGGCATCAACGTTGGCAGCAGCAGCAGCACCGGCGCCTCGGGCAACACTGTAGCGTCGGAAGCGAGCGGTAACCGCGACCTAAACACCCTCATGTTGCGTGTGTACCCGGTGTATCAGGAGCATACCCCCCCGGATGCAGGGGCGGGCGTGGCTGAGTTCCGATCCAAATGCCGTGGTTTCATGTCTGCTGTGATTGATTTTGAGCCGTTGATCAAGTCGCTGCGTCGGGACCACATACCGATGCTTGTGAGGGTGTACGACGTGACCAACGGGAGCAGCGAGGCTCAGACGGGGTACTATAACGCGGCCAACACTGCCGCCCGGGGGAACGGCAGCAGCGGCAACGGCAGCGGCAGCGGCAGCAGCAGCAGCAGCACCAGCGGCACGACCAGCAGCATGACTTCCGCGAGTGGTAGTAACACCACTGGGGTTCTAAAAACCGACGGTGGCAGCAGCAGCAGCAGCAGCAACAGCAGCACGGGAGGCAGCGGCCGCGTGGTTGGGTTTGGTGATACGATGGCAGTACCAGGGGAGGTGCTGGGGCGGGGTAGTGTGGAACGGTTGTTGTATGAACCGAGCGACCACCGGCTGGGCAAGGGGCAGAGCGACAAGTACAACTATGTCACCACCATGGACCTGGGCGACCCCTACCGGCAGTACGAGATCCGGTGCAGGTATGGTGTGGCATGGGATGGGTGCATTGGGTAGGGTAGGGGGTGTGGATTGGATTGGCGTGCTAGTGGAAAGAAACAGGCGCCATTGTGTCACCACCATAGACCTGGGCGACCCCTACCGGCAATGCGAGATCTAGTTTTGAGGCGCCTTAAAAACTAGTTTTGAGGCGCCTCTAAACTAGAGTTCTCTCACGCGGATTTTTGAGGCGCCTCAAAACTACACCACCATAGACCTGGGCGACCCGACCCCTACCGGCAATGCGAGATCCGGTGCAGGTATGGCGTGGGCGCATTGGGTGGTGGGTGTTTGTGCATTGGATTGGTGTGTGCGTGGAAGGGAAGGGGGTTAGGAGGAACCGTCGTGTCACCACCATGGACCTGGGGGGGGGGACCTGTACCGGCAGCATGAGATCCGCTGCAGGTACGGGCGGGCTGGGTAGTGGAGTGGGGATGTGATGTGGCTGGCGTGTGAGTGGTGGAAGGGGAGGACGAGGCGTGTGGCACATGGACGTCCTCGTCCTCCCCTTTCTCCACGTCCTCGTCCTCCCCTTTCCTCCCCATATTTTGATCCTCTAGTCCCCCCATTCCCCTTCCCGCCGCTTGTTATTCCTCCCCCCACCTTGCCATTCCCCTCCCCCCCTCCCCCCCTTCCCCCCCCCGTTCCCCTCCATCTCCTCCTTCCTCGTTCCCCCCCAGGTACCTAGACTACTACGTGTTCCCCTATTCGTCCCTGGGCTGGGCGCTCGTTATAGTCACAGTGATGTCCCTTGTGGGCTACGTGTGGTGGGTGGCGAGCTCGCACGTGCACCAATTGGAGCACGACTTCCACCGCATGGAGCTGCTTAAGGACAAAATGAAGGCCGCCCGCAACGTGGCGGAGCGCGCCAGCAAGGCGAAAGGGACGTTCCTCGCCACCATGTCTCACGAGCTGCGCACGCCCATGAATGGGGTCATAGGTGCGTTGTTGACATTCGTGGGCGGAGTGGGCGGAGTGGGCGGAGTGGGCGGAGTGGGCGGAGTGGGTGGAGTGGGTGGAGTGGGTGGAGTGGGCAGATGGGTTACGTGGTCCGGGTGAACATTTGGGGTTTAGTCAGCCTCATGTCTTCATGCGTACCCCCCCCCCACCCCTCCCCTCCCCTCCCTTGTGCCACATGTTTTCATGCGAACCACACCCCCTGCTCCCCGTTCCTTTTTCTGCCATATGTAAGGCTTACCCGCACGCTCTCCGCCATCCCATCCCAGGTATGCTTAACCTGCTGCTGGAAACACCCCTCACCATCACCCATCTGGACTACGTGGACACGGCTGCACCAGCTGCAAGCACCCCCACTCATGCAATAACATTCATGCACATATGCTCACATATACTCCCCCTCACCGCCCCCTCCGCCATCCCTTCCCAGGCATGCTGAACCTGCTGCTGGAAACACCCCTCACCATCACCCAGCTGGACTACGTGGAGACGGCTCGCACCACCTGCATGCTCGCACCACCTGCATGCTCGCACCACCTGCATGCTCGCACCACCTGCATGCTCGCACCACCTGCATGCTCGCACCACCTGCATGCTCGCACCACCTGCATGCTCGCACCACCTGCATGCTCGCACCACCTGCATGCTCGCACCACCTGCATGCTCGCACCACCTGCATGCTCGCACCACCTGCATGCTCGCACCACCTGCATGCTCGCACCACCTGCATGCTCGCACCACCTGCATGCTCGCACCACCTGCATGCACAGCTCCTCGTGTTTACCTTCCTCCTGTACCCCTGTCCGCCATGCCATCCCATTTCAGGCATGCTGAACCTGCTGCTGGAGACACCCCTCACGATCACCCAGCTGGACTACGTGGAGACGGCTCGCACCAGTGGGCGGGCGCTGCTGGAACTGATCAATGACATCCTCGACCTCTCCAAGATCGAGGTTAGTTGCAGAGGTGGTGAGAGGTGGTGAGAGGTGGGGAGAGGTGGGGAGAGGTGGGGAGAGGTGGTGAGAGGTGGGGAGTGGTGAAGAGAGGTCAGGTAGGAGTGTGCACACCAGGAGACATCCACTATTCCGGCTGCTGATCATCAACGGCATCCTCGACCTCTCCAAGATTAAAGTGCGTGACCTGAGACTGAGATGCTCACGGTTAGGAGGAAAGCTAGGAGTGTGCACACGGACGGACGGACGTGCAGACAGCAGTGGGTTCAACTCCGTCCTAGTCCGCTCCAAATAATGAGGTGCGCTGCTCACATAAGAAATGTGGACACGTTGCTCATAATGCTCGCCCCCTTGCCATTTCCTTCCCCCCAAACTCATCACATCCCTCCCCTCCTCCCTTTCCCACCTCCCTTCCCCGCACCACATCCCCCGATCCCCCCCACATACCAGGAGCAGAAGATGCAGCTGGAACGGGTCCCCATGGACGTGCAGGTAGAGGTCGACACGGTGCTCACCATGTTCATCGAGCGCTCTCCTTTCTCCAACCCTTCCCCCTTCCCTCCCGCCCCCAATTCACCCACACCAGGCGCAGAAGATGCAGTTGGAAAGGGTCCCCATGGACGTGAGGGGAGAGGTGGACACGGTGCTCACCATGTTCATCGAGCGCTTCCGAGACAAGCCGCTGCTGCAGGTGGCGGCCTATGTTGACCCCCTCGTGCCGGCTGCTGTGCTTGGGGACTCCCTGCGCCTGCGCCAGGTGAGCTTGGACGTGTTCGTGCCAGGTAGGTTGTCAGGCGTGTTCTTCACTTTTTTATTATTTCTTTATTCATTTATTTATTTGTTTTTTGGGGGAGGGGGGGAGGGGTGGGGGTTGTGAGGGGGGGAAGGGTGGTTTCGTTACACACCCACCTTTATCCTTGCCTTCTCCGTTGAATTACCTCTGGCTCACCCACGTCACTAGGTGACTTTTGAGTCGACTCAAAAGTCGGCTCACCCACGTCACTTCAACCCTGCACTGCACTCCCCAGGTGCTCATCAACTTGCTCTCCAACGCCTGCAAGTTCACCGAACGTGGACACATCTTCATCGCCATCCGCACGGCAGAGCCAGACGAGGATCTGCGCAAGTCAGCACGCAAGCTCCACCACCACCACCGCTCCTTCCGCTCGCACGCCCCCGCCATGATAGCTGATCAGCCGCCGGCCTCTGCCGTGGCAGCCGATAAGCCGTCTGCCTCTGCTATGATAGGTGATAAGTCGTCTGTCGCAGCAGCTGAGGCGAAGACTGACGAGACTCACAGTGTTACCGACAGGGCTGGTGCTGCCGGCAACGCTGCTGCTGCTGATGGTAGTGGTAGTGGCGGTGGCGGTGGCGGTGGTGAACGGTGGCTTTGGCGGTTGTGAGGGTAAGGAGGACGGGGCAAAAGAGGAGAGGCAGAAGAGGCAGGAGTGTCCATCCAAGGATGTTGCCTTTCGACCCGAACGCCAGTCGGCTCGTCTAAGCGCGCTCATGCTCGCTGCTGCTGATGGTGACGCTGCCACTGATGCTGGTACTGCTTCTGCCGCTGGTGCTGCTGGTGCTGCTAGTGCTGCCACCACTGCCGGCACGACCACCAAATCTCACAACAGCAACAGCAACAGCAACAGCAACAGCAACAGCAGCCCCTCGCCTCTCCCGCCGTCACCCCGCATTCCCCCACCTGCTGAACGGCTCGGGCTCACCGGGCGAGCCAGCATGACGGGCAGGCGAAGCAGCAGCAGCAGCATGGGCGGTGGTGGTGGCAGCGGCGTGAACGGCACGGCGCCTGACAGGCTGACTCTCAGCGGGCAAGAGGCCGTGGACAGCTGCAACAGCTGGGTGGTGCTGGGTGCTCGCCGGGACAAGTGGCGCGAGGAGGGAATGAGACGCGGGGAGGAGAGGGATGGGAAGAGGGATGGGGGGATGGAAGGGGAGGGAGGAGAGGAAGGGGAGGGTGGTGGTAAGGGCAGAGGGAGAGGTGGAGGCGGGAGTCCTCTGCTGAATGGCCCGACTGTGCGACTCGTCATCTCTGTTGAGGTACGGGGCTCGTGCAGTAGCATCTCTAGGTGGTCTATACTGAAATGCAGGCGGATATTCCATGTCTCTCTTTCCCTCCACCACTACAGACAGAGCAGGGGCGACAGCATGCCCTACCCTGGCCACCGCCTCATCTTAAAGCCATTCAAGCATGCGGACAATGTTCGCGCGCAATGTGAACACAATGATTCGCGCACAATGCTCGTGCTGACTGTTCTCATTCCCTTCCTCCTGTCCTCCTCTTTCCTCCTCTCCCACCAACAGGACACAGGCGAGGGCATCCCTTACCCAGCGCAGCGCACCATTCTAAAGCCCTTCATGCAGGCGGACGCGAGCACGACGCGCACGCACGGCGGCACGGGCATCGGGCTGTCCATCTCGCGCCACCTCGTGGACCTCATGGGGGGCAAACTCTCCTTCACGTCGCGCCCTGGCGTGGGCACCACCTTCTTCTTTGATGTTGTAATGCCCTGTGATAGCCGCGACGGTGAGCCCGTGGCAGCTGCTGCTGCTGACGTCGCTGCTTCGGCTGCTGCTGGTGCTGCTGCTGCTGCTGCTGCTGCTGCTGCTGCTGCTGCTCGTTCTGCTTGTGCTTCAAGGCCTGAAGGAGCAGGAGCAGGAGCAGGAGCAGGAGCAGGAGCAGGAGCAGGAGCAGTGGCAAGATCAGCTTCATTGGTGGGGTCAGCAGATTCTGTGATTGTAGAGATCAGAGATTCAAAGCACGATGTATCCTTGAAGGATGATGAAGGGTGCAGCTTCCCCCTCCTCGCCGAACCAGCTTCAGGTTCGGAATCACCGCTGCTGCCATGGGTTGTTCCAGCTTCGGCTCCAGCAGCCGCATCACCACCTCCTTCACTTACACCAGCAGCACTTTCAGCACTATCCCCCTTAAGGTCATCCCCATTAAGAGCATCTCCGCCACATGTGCTCCCAGCTTCGCCCCTACACCTACTCCACCAGACCGAAGCGAGTTTATCTCACTTCTCCGCCATTCTCCTTGACGACCGCCCCGTGAGGTTCGGCGTTATGGAGAGCCTGCTCAATAGGCTCGGCATCCCAGTGCTGAACACCCCGGAAGCTGTTGCCGAACCTGTGGTGCACATTCCAAACCACAGTTCCCTCGTCACTGCTCCAGCTGCGGTGGACGCAGGGGTTGGTAAGCGGCCGGTGATTGTGGTGGTAGATGAGGAGTGGTTGGGTCGGCACAACAAGGCAGTGCTTCAACACAAGAAGAAGCAACAGAGCGAAGAGGAGGGGCAGCAGGTACAGGAGGGACAGCAGGTACAGAATGGGGAGGAGATGCAGGAAGGGCAGGAAGGGGGGAAGAAGAGGACACGGAAGGAGGGCGAGAGGTGTATCAGCAGCAGCAGCTGCACATGGCAATGGATTGCAGTGACTGCCATGGCGGAAGCAGGCTATGAGGTCTGGCCAAGCCTGCTTCACCAGTCAGGCTCGGTGAAGGCAGCTGGTGGTAACCATGACTACAGCAACCAAAGAGGTGGTAACCAGACACATGGCGGCAGCAGTGGTAGCAGCCCTGACAGCAGCCAATCCAGCGGAAACAGTGAGGGTGGCAATTGCAAGGAAGGTGCTGGTGGCTGTAGTGGAGAGAAATGTCACACATGCCAGCTACCTCGGATGGGTAGAGGCAGCTTCTGCAGCACCAGCAGCAGCAGCAGTAACGGCAGCAGCACCACCAGTATTGGAGCAAGCATGGAGACCTCTACTCGCAGCAGTTTCTGCAGCAGCAGTGGCAACAGCAGCGGCAACAGCAGTAACAGCAGCAACCGAGGGTGCGGCTTCTGCTGCTGTGAGAGCAGCAGGCAAGGCACGATGGACGGAAGCGATTGCATGGATGAATGGCCCTGGTTTGCTGCGGTGATGCTGTCTTCAGCGCATGAGGGCTGTAAGGCTTCAGCACAATGTAAGGCTTTCGATGTGACTATATCGAAGCCCGTGAGGCAGACTGCTCTTTCTACGAACCTCTCTCTGTTGCTTCTTGGGGCGGATGAGGCGCTAGGGACAGAAGATGGTGCTGAGGCGGAGGAGGAGCGAGAAAGGATGGTGGGGAGGGTGGAGGAGGGGGGTGATGATGGCGATGATGAACGGGAGTATGATGATGAGGAGGATGAGGAGGAAGGGGAGGAAGGGGAGGAACAGGAGTGTAAAGCAGGGATGCAGGTAGGCAGAGGAACAGGAGCAGTGCGAACAGGAGGAGGTGAGCGTCAGGAGCAACAGCAGCTGCAGCAGCTGCATCAGCTGCCGCAGGAACAGCAGCAGCAATGCTCGATGCCGAAAAGCGCATCAGACCAGAGCTCGCCGGGTCCTGTGGTGCGATGGCTGCTTCCTGCTGACAATGACGATGATGATTCTGATAGAGTTTCTCACAGTGGCCCACTGTCACGTTCTCTCGGGGATAAGGGGATTTACTGGCCTGGAGGCACCACCAGCAGTACTAGGAGTACCAGCACTGGCAAGAGCAGAGGCAAGAGTCCCCAAAGAGCAGGCATCCTCAAGTCTAGCAGCACCGATTTGAAAACAGATGAAGCTTCTGTTGCCCCGGCTACTCCTGCTGCTCCTGCTGCTTCTACTCCTCCTGCTGTCCCTGCTGCTTATGCTGCTTCTTCTACCCCTGCTGCTTCTGCTACCCCTGCTGCTCCTGCTCAGACTGGTCTTGACTCTGGGTTTGGGCGGCAGACAAGGCGAGTGAGAATGAGTCTAGACGAGGTGGGGTCAACTCGGTCAACTCAGTCAACACGGTCAACAATAGGGTCCAAAGCACGCAGATCCACAGGCTCCATGCAGGAAGGGGATGTGCCGACCGTTGCCGCCCGCCTTAAGTCCCGTGCCGCCCAAGCGACTGCTGGGAGCCCTTCCTCTCTGCCGCCTGCTCTGCCGTCGGGCACGTCGATGCGCAAGGAGAGTGATGGAGCGAGGCTGCTGTGCCAGGCGCTCAAGGGAAAGAAGATTCTCGTGGTGGGTCTCCCTTCACTGACCTCTCTTTGCTTTTTAGCAGCTCAGAGACAGTCTTATCAACAGAATTGAGAAAGAAAGGAATATATTTTATGTCCCTCCCAACGCCCCCTTCCGCTCTCCCGCCCCTCCCCTCAATGTCCTGGCAGGTGGACGACAACATGGTGAACCGCAAGGTGATGGCGCGCATGCTGCAGCGCCGTGCTTCCTTCATACTGCTCTTCCATAACCCCCCTCCCTTCCCTCTCCTCTCTCCCCGCCGATCCACTGCCAGGTGGACGACAACATGGTGAACCGCAAGGTGATGGCGCGCATGCTGCAGCGGTACGGCGTGGAGGTGGAGACGGTGGATGGCGGCGCCAAGGCTGTCAAGGCCGTGCAGCAGGCAACTACCAGATATGACTGCGTCTTTATGGACGTGCAGGTGCGGCGGCTGTGTGTTTGGGTGGCTGTTTTTGGACGTTTCTGGGCTGTGTTTTTGGGGCGCCGGAGTCTGAGGTTTGTAGGTGTATTGTGCATCCGTTCTATGGTTGGTTATGATGCCGAGTCCTTTTGTGTCTTATCGATCAGTGGATTGATACTTTTCTACTACATTTATTTTTGCAGATGCCAGAGATGGATGGGCTAGAAGCTACGGGCCTCATCCGCAAGTATGAAGCTGGTGTGAATGGTGGAAACGCACAAAAAGACCGGGGAGCAGACCGGCTATTGGTGATTGCACTGACAGCTGATGTGGGTGCTGGCACGAGGGAGAAGTGCTTGAAGCATGGGATGGATGGGTACATGACCAAACCCATAGAGGAAGAACAACTCTGTCGCGTTGTGCTGCCGTTTTTCACAGCCTTGGCAGCTTGCTCACGAACATAATGGTACATGTGTAGTTGTTCATATATAGGCTTTCTAATTTATTTCTATTGTTCTATCGTCGAATAAAAGGAGCTTGTAAACATGAGTGTAGGGTGCCGTTATCAACAGTGATGCACCCATCCGTCCGTCAGACACTTCTGTCAGTTCCCGCCAAATACCCCTGGGATTGGTTGGGATTGGACACGAGTCAAGACCAAAGCATCTCCAACAGGCACAAGCGCTGGATATGGAATAAGTCCGAACTTGCAACAAGCTCGAAGGAAAGACATAGAAGGAAGAATAGTGGAAGCATCGATGGAAAGATGAGGCCTGGAATGGCGTGTATTCGGAGGATCCCCATTATAGCCTATGTTGAAGTAATAAAAACTATGGTCATGCTCGGTGTAGTCGTTATTTATGCGGCTGCGTTCAGATTGTAGTTGCAAGCTTGACCTTTTGGCATTTTCATTCTCCAAACGTTGTCACTTCTACAGACGAGAGTGCGGAGCTGAGCATTGTTGCGTAAGAATTAAAAAACAAGAAGGCGCTGTCACTGTATGTATTAGGCGCGCGACTGGTGGTGTTTTGGTCCTCGAGGATGGCGTTCTTCGAAGCTCGCCGCGCGTTTGATCGTGCGCTGGCGTCAGACACGTGGACAGACCCCGCTATAGTCACAAGAGCCGTTAGAAGGCAGTTAGGATTATCTGAGCCTGCAGAAACAGCTTCTTTGTCGGCTCAAGGGAACGGAGCTGCAGCTTCTGCTGGGGGACAGGGGACGCAGGGAGAAATAGAGAACGCAGCAGATATGCTAGAGCAAGCAGGTACTGTTGCAGTCGACGCAACAGAGAATGGAACGCAGAGAGAAATAGAGAACGCAGCAGAAATGTTAGAGCAAGCAGGTACTGTTGCATCCGACGCAACAGAGAATGGAACGCAGAGAGAAATAGAGAACGCAGCAGAAATGTTAGAGCAAATTGCTTCTGGTGCAGCCGAAGCGACAGCTACTAACGGAGCGGGAGTAGAAGCTAGCGACGGAGAAGTCAGCGGATGGCCTCTTCGCAGCCAGACGGTTCAGACGGCATACCACAACTCCCCAGGTGCGTCGCTGAAGTGACGCTTGAGTTGACTGAAAGAGTAACTTCGTTACCAGTCATAAGTTTCTTCGCAGCCAGACGGTCCAAAGGGCACATCACAACTTTCCCAGGTGCGTCGCTGAAGTGGCATTTGAGTCGACTGAAATCATGGCCCTGTTTTGAGTCGTAAGTTCTTTCGGAGCCAAACGGTGCAGACGGCGTACCACAACTCCCCTTGTGCGACTTTTGAGGCGCCTCAAAAGTCCAGGTGCGTCGCAGAAAGTGACCCTTGAGTTGACAGGAAGGTCTGCTTGCGTTCTTTTCTACCTGCCAGCATGGCATGTTTTTGCGTGAATGCTGCCGGTGTAGTTTGCTTGTCCATCCAGCTTTGAGGCGTCTCAATGCTATAAAAGCATGTGTTTGCGAAAATGCTCGTTCATCCAGCTACATTGCCATGCTTTCCAGGCGAAGTTGGTTGCGTGGATAGATGATGTAGCTTGCACCAAACAGTCAAACGACCACATACTTGTGCCCAGGCATTAGGCAACAGCATATCGTGTCAATGCTTCTCTTAAGGTCCAAAATGTTCAAATCAGCGTTTTCAGAATCTACAGTTTCACCTCGGCCTGCACTGCCATACCAACACCACCCTCCTGAATCCTTGCGCATCATACATGCGGTGTTTCCTGTGTGCGTCCCACGTTTTCGTTGTGCGCATCCATTCTTTCCTTTCTGTGTCCTTGCGCGACCGCTCCCGTCCAACAGATGGCGCCGTCAATAGCAGCAACTCAGCCGCTCCAGTCGACCCTCCACCCACTGAACCCCTTCCCGCATCAGCAGAACCACCAGCCAAAGGACCTGAATCCCAGTCCCAGTCCCACCCCGAGCCCCGGCTGACGCACGAGCAGTACTCGGGAGTGGCGGAGGGCGCAGCGATGGACAAGGTGGTAGCCGCGCGGGTGAGGGACACGGAGGGCATGCTGGAGGCGCTGCGCAGTGCGGCGGGCAGCAGCTTCGAGGACATGGCGCTGCACCGCGAGGAGTCCCGCTCCCACCCCGAAGCATTCGGGCAGCGCGACTGGCGGGTGAGAATGACTAACGGGAGGGTGTAGTGGGGATTGAGAGGGGGTGGCGGGTGGGAGGGAGTGGCGGGTGCAGGGAAGTGGCAGGTGAGAGGGAGTGGGGGGTTGAGCGGGGTGATAGGGGCAAGCATTGCAGGTACGTGAGTGGAAGCACAAGCAGTGCGGCGGGCAGCAGCTTCGAGGACATGGCGCTGCACCCCGAGGAGTCCCGCGCGCACCCAGAGGCGTTTGGGCAGCGCGACTGGCGGGTGAGTTTTGAGAACACTTAGCGGGTGAGGGAATGGTGGGCGAGCGGGATAGCAGTGACTAGCAGGCATGGCGGGTGTGTGAGTGAAAGCACAGCAGTGCGGCGGGCAGCAGCTTTGAGGACATGGCGCTGCACCACAAGGAGTCCCGCGCGCACCCAGAGGCGCTTGGGAGCGCGACTGGCGGGTGAGCGAGAGTGTCGAGTAAGTGAGAGAGGCGGGTGAGTGGGAGAGGCGGGCGGGCGGGAGAGGCAGGTGGGCGGGAGAGGCTGGTGGCGGGAGTGACATGCGGGGGAGAAGGGGTCTCTGGGGGCGTGAGGATCTCCCTGCGCCACTTGTTCCGCCCTTGCCTCCGCTCCGGTGTACAGGTGGTGTGCAGAAGCAGGAGGTTTTCACTGTGAGCAGCGTACCACCAGTTCAAGCTAGAGGTTTTCCTTGCCCTTCCTCGTGCCCTCTCCTCCCACGCCCTGCATGCAGCTGAAGGAGCAGAGCAAGAGCCACAGGGTGATGTACCGCCCAGGCGCGGAGGGAACTCTATACCATCCCCTTGACCCACTACTGGCCTCCCACACAGCCCCCCACTCGTGCCCTCTCCTCCCGTGCCCCGCGTACAGCTGAAGGAGCAGAGCAAGAGCCACAGGGTGATGTACCGCCCAGGGCCGGAGGGAACGGCCTTCCACGAGCTCTGCCTGGAGGGCGTGCTTAAAGGGTCCCTCGACACTGGTGGGCTGCTCTTTCATTTTGCCCTGTCTGATTTTTGAGTCGACTCAAAGAAAGACCTTTCACGAGCTCTGCTTGAGGGCGTGTTCAAGGGACCCGTTCGCGCTGGTGGGCTCGCTTTTAGACACTGACGGGCTGTTCTTTGAGCTGCCCTTTCGCACTCTGGTGGGCTGTTGTTTTAGTGTTGAGAGATCTACCTACTTGTACGGTGCTGTGGTGCTGTCTGCTCATGTCGCGCGTAACATCCTCTTTGCATCTCCCCCTACCGTATCCCGTCTTTCCTGCATTGCTCCCACATCCACCCCCCGACGCTCCACTGTCAATCTTCTCACATCCACCCCCCGACGCTCCAATGTCAATCTTCTCACATCCATCCTCTCTCGCCTCTGATCTGCACGCTGCAGTGCTCGCGGTGGTATGGGAGGCTCCATATTTCATCGACTGGTGGGTGTACTCTCACGTGTCCTCATGGATACAATCAAGCATGTGTCGTCGTGTGTACAAACAAACACGTGCCTTTGTGGGCTCCCATGTCATCATGGGTAACTTGTCGACTCAAAAGTCACATCGGTGGCGTGAGAGGCTCCGTATGTGATTGACTGGTAGGTGTGTTCTCCATGTGTCCCCATGGATACAACCACGTGTGATTATGAATCTACGTGTCCTCATGGATACAACCACGTGTGATTATGAATCTACGTGTCCTCATGGATACAACCACGTGTGATTATGAATCTACGTGTCCTCATGGACACAACCACGTGTGATTATGAGTCTATGTGTCCTCATGGATACAACCACGTGTGATTATGAATCTGCGTGTCCTCATGGATACAACCACGTGTGATTATGAATCTACGTGTCCCCACGTCATGCGAGCCTCCTCTATTCTCTATATCCACTTTCTCTGTCTCGGTGGGTATTGTGTGGTTCTGGTTGTAAGCTTTGGAACGAACGAAGATAGAAGCTAAAAACGGAGAGAAAACGTCAAGGGTGCCTTCAATTCACACCCTGCCATCTTCCACTTGGACATTTCTTTAGCCCGTACTTCTTGTGAACGACTTTTGAGAATTCTCAAAACTCGCTCACACCCTGTCACTTTCCACTTGGACATTTCTTGGACACTTGGTCACTTTCTTCGAGGTGTACTTATGTGTGTGTTCTCGAGACGTCTCAAAACACTTCTTCAAACGTGTGTTCTCGTACGATTTCTTCCTGCCATCCCTCCCAATTCGTCCGGCCGGTTCCCACCTCACCCCGCTGCCTCCTTATTCTCTCATCCCCGTCGTTGTTCTCCCCTCCCTCCCTCTCGTTCTTTCCTTGCCCCCAGGTGGCCGCGGTCCTCAGTGCCTGCCGCCCTTCCACTTGCTCGAGTCCAAGTTCGTCAAGCGAGGGACTCAATCCCTCTCTCTTTCTCTCACTGTTTGCGTCCCTCGCTTCACTTCTCTCTTCGCCTCGCCCCTCTCCTCGCCTCGCCCCTCTCCTCGCCTCGCCCCTCTCCTCGCCTCGCCCCTCTCCTCTCTGCTGCAGGTGGCCGCAGTTCTCAGTGCCGCCCTTCCACGTGCTCGAGTCCAAGTTCGTCAAGAGAGTGGCGCCGGGATACGAGCTCGTGCACGTCCGGTCAGTGCACTGCTAGCTTAGGGATACAAGGTTGGGATGTCACACACTGTGTCATGTCACAACCTGTGTCATGTCACAACCTGTGTCATGTCACAACCTGTGTCATGTCACAACCTTTGTCATGTCACAACCTGTGTCATGTCACACACTGTGTCATGTCACACACTGTGTCATGTCACACACCTCCCCATCCCTTGTGAACTCTCCACTTAGCGGTTCCGCTCCCTCACTTCGCACTTACCATTTTCACAGCCTCACTAACATCTACCCATCCACCAACCTCTGCACCGCTTTCCTGCCACCCGCGCTCCTCTGCAGCGTCAAGTTGCCATGGCCGTTCGCCCAGCGCGACATGCTATACGTGCTCTTCTCCGTGCACGACGCTGCCACCGGCTTCATCGCCACCTCCGTCATCTCCGTCAGTTCCACTCTCCTCTTTGTGCTCCTCTTTTTTCCCCTGCTTGCGCTCCTCTTTGTCCTCCTCTTTTTTCCCCTGCTTGCGCTCCTCTTTGTGCTCCTCTTTTTTCCCCTGCTTGCGCTTCTCTTTGTCCTCCTCTTTTTTCCCCTGCTTGCGCTCCTCTTTGTCCTCCTCTTTTTTCCCCTGCTCGCGCTCCTCTTTGTCCTCCTCTTTTTTCCCCTGCTTGCGCTCCTCTTTGTCCTCCTCTTTTTTCCCCTGCTTGCGCTCCTCTTTGTCCTCCTCTTTTTTCCCCTGCTTGCGCTCCTCTTTGTCCTCCTCTTTTTTCCCCTGCTTGCGCTCCTCTTTGTCCTCCTCTTTTCTCCCCTGCTTGCGCTCCTCTTTCTTTGTGCTCCAGCTTGCACTCTGCTTCAATCATTCCGTGCAACTCCCTTTTCTCTGGGTACTCTTTCCCACTCACAATGCGGCGGTTGCTGCTGTTGCCGCCGCTGCCGCTGCTGGCACTGCAGCCACACCGTTGAGTCTAGTCCCCGATCAATGGTTGTTACCTTGCTCTAGCAGCACCGAACCTTTCAGACTTGCTGCAGGCCTCATCTAGTGCCCAGCCTTTGTTCAGCTGCAGCTCACTGACTGGCACCTGATCATTGTTCCAAAGATATTGACTTGATTATGGACTAGGTTAGTTGCTCTCTCACTCCACCTGCCCATCTTTTTCTCCTTTCTCCCATCCATCACTGGGTTGCAGTTCTTGAACACCTGGTGACTTGGACTTTATATTATATCGTATCTTGCACTTCTTTCCCTTAAATCAGTGCCCTTCGCATTCCATGTTTTGCCACATGATGGTCGCATATTTCCTTTTCTCCGCACACGCTTTTCCATCTCATAACATACTTTGCCCTCCTCACATTCTTTCCTATCTTGCCACGTGCTTTTCCCCTACAGTTCCCAGATAATCCAGCTGCCTTTGACCCTGCCTCGTATGGCTTCACCAGTGACGGCGTGCCACCTGTCCGCTCTGGAGAGGTCCGCATGAGTATGAACGGCGGCTTTGCAGCAAAGTACCTTGGCAATGGCTACTGCTACTTCCGGTGAGTCGCTGCGAAGATAAGTCGTATTTTTAGGTGGCTTGTGAGAGTGTAAAGGGTGGCTTTGCAGCCAAGGACCTTGGCAATGGCTTCTGCTACTGTCATTCCGTTTCGTTGTGACCAACCATGGGTGTTTTTGTGAGCAAAATTGTGTGTTAGGTGCCTCCCAGAACTTCAAAGGGCGGCCTTGCAGTGAAGGAAGGCAATAGCTGCTGCTGATTCCGGTGTGTCTTTATGTTGCGAAATATGTTTCAAGTGCATTGAAGGGTGGTTTTGCAGTGACCGGATTCTATCATCCATGGCTATTACACTTGAAGTCGCACCAATCTCTACTATTCACTCCAACACCCCCAATCTCCCCTGCGTCCCTTGCTACTCTGTACTCTCTGCCACTCACGCTCCCCTCCCCATAAACTTCTTCCAGTGGCTTGGCAACATTTGACTTGAAGCTGAACCTCATCCCCTCATGGCTCATCAACTTTGTGTCACGACAGCTGGCAGGGTCTGGTTACCACATGCTCTACAACGTGCGTGTGCCTGGCATGTCTGCTGGTGGTGCTGTTGCTGCTTATGTTGCTGGTGCTGTCTCCACTCTTGTTCATGCACCCAACACATTGTTTTTTCTTGCGTGTGCTGTTGATGTCAGCACTAGCTTGTTTGTTAGGAAATCCTCTTAGCCATTCTCTCTCTTCCACTCTGTGTGTTCCCGGCCATCCCTCGCTGCAACCCTCAGGAGATAGAGAGTGTGGCGGACGGCAGCAACAAGGAGGCGGACAAGTTCCGCGCGCTGCTGCGCTCAGACCCCTTCTACTACTCCGTGGGCCGGGCCATGCGCTCCCACCATGCAGCAGTAGCAGCGCAGGGCGAGCGGGCGAAGCAGCAGCGGGAGCAGCTGCAGCAGCAGGGTGAGGCGGAGTCATTCCGGCAGATTGGGGAGCGAGTGGAGAAGGAAGTGGAGAGGCTCGTTGCCAGCCATTCTGAGCGTGAGAGTGAGGTTGCTGCTGCTGCTGCTGCTGCTGCTGGTGGTGCTGCTGCTGCTGGTGCTGGTGGTGGTTTATGTGGGAGTTATGAATGCAGGTGAAGCGTTAGCAGAGGCAGCTGCTGCCCCTGTGCCACCTGCAGCAGGACCACCCAAGGCCGCCTCCCCTGCATCAATGGTGAAACCACCTCGTCCTCCCTCACCCAGGAAGCTTGTGGCCCCTGCACCACCACCACCACCCGCTGCTGCTCTTGAGACGTCTCAAAAACACCCTGCACCACCACCCACTGCTGCTCGGGCACCAGAAGCAGCACGTGCAAGAGGAGGCTTGGCAGCCGTAGGTGCAGTGGGTGAGAATGTATCAGCAGGCTCTCAAGCTGTCCAGTATGGGCAGCTACAGCAGAGGGATCCGGCAATCTTCCATGCAGTTACCACCCTTGATAGGGCCATCTCCTTTATGCGAGCCAGAGCAGCAGCTCAGCGCCAGGCAGCAACTGCTGCTGCAGGCAGTGGTGCTGCTGCGCTCCCAGGCCTGGTACCGCCGAAGCAAGAGGTTTGGAGCTACAGTGGCCAGCTTCGACCCGCACCTAGGAAGGGTGAAAGCAGAGGAGATGGGGATGCAGGGGAGACTGGTGGGATTGGGGAGGGGGGGACTGAGGAGAGGGTGTGGATACTGACCAGGGCAATATCGGCAGGTCCTGCTGATCATGCAAGGGGTGAGGGGCTTGGTTCTGAAACAGCAGGATTGGTCGAACAGTCAGTACCAGCAACAGAGGCATCGTCATCGTCAGCAGCAGCAGCAGCCGCCGCCACACAAGGAGCAGTATTGACAGCATCAGCAGCAGGAGCTGCAACACCTCTTCTCTCGGTTGCAGCTGAGCTTGAAGCAGCAGGACAGCAAGATGGCACAGATGCAATTAGGGACGTGCCTGTGCCAGTCACCAGTGCTGCAGAGGCGAGGGGAAGTGCTGAACGCCCATCTACGGCCCCCATTGGAGGGAAGGGAGGGAGGGATGAAGGGAGGAGGGCGACCGAGGGAGGGGAGGATGCAGGCAGCAAGGGTAACAAGAAGCAAGGTGGAAAGAGACCTTGGCGCAAGGGCTTTTTTGGTCTCAAGTTCTCCAGAAGTCCCGGGTGATTCAGTCTCAAGTTATCCAGAAGTCCAAGGCTGTCAAGGCCATGCAGCAGGCAGCTCCCAGATTTGATTGCGTCTTCATGAATGTGCAGGTGTGGCGGCTGTGTGTTTGGATGGTTTTTGGACGTTACTGGACAGATTTTTTCCAAGGGGGGTCGAGGTATGTAGGTGTATTGTGCCTTCGTTCTATGGTTTGTTATGATGCTGGATCCTTTTTGTGTTTGTCACTTGGTGGATTGATATTGTTCTATTTTGTGTTTTTTGCAGATGCCAGAGATTGATGGGCTAGTTAGAGGCCACTGGGCTCATCCGCACAAGTACGAAGCTGGTGTGAATGGTGGAAACACACAAAAGACCGGGGCGCAGACCGGCTATTGGTGTTGCACTAATGGTGGGTGTGGGTGCTGGTATGAGGGAGAAGTGCTAAAGCATGCGATGGATGGGTACTTGGCCAAACCAATAGACAAAGAGCAATTCTGACGGGTTGTGTTGCCGTTTTTCACAGCTGTGACAGCTTGTTCACGAACATAATAATATGTATTTATATTCTGTGTTGCCTAAGCCCTAAGTATAGGTATAAGCTTTCATTTTTGTTTTCTTCTCCTAGCTTAGAGGTAGTATGAATTGGGAGAAGACAACTGTTGCATAATCGAGTAATGTGAAACACGTAAGTGTAGGGTGCCACTATCAACAGTGATGCACCCATCCGTCAGACTCTGTCAGTTCAGTTCCCGCCAAATTTCCTTGGAATTCCCTCCAACATTTCTGTGCATCTCCCACTGGCAAAGGCATGCTGGAGAAAATGTCCGAATTTGCTGCAGGCCAGAAACATCTAGTAAGACAAAAAAGAAATAAGACCACAGATGGAGAGACGAGCCGTGGAATGGCGTCTACTTGCAGAATCTCCGTTTTCGTGGCTTCGTGCCTTGTTTTACCACTTTGGCGATCGCCGGTCTCCGTGTCGTCGTTAAGTACGCGGCTGCGTCCAGATTGTAATTAAGCACCCTGGATGCTGCTGGCTGTTTCCAGTTGCAAGATTGACAGACAGAGAGTGCGGAACTGAGCGTTGAGTGTTGTATCTATTACATGCGTGACTGGTGTTTTGGTCCGCTAGGATGGCGTTCTTCGAAGCTCGCCGCTCGTTTGATCGTGCGCTGGCGTCAGACACGTGGACAGACCCCGCTATAGTCACAAGAGCCGTTAGAAGGCAGTTAGGACTATTCGAGCCTGCAGAAACACCTTTTGTGTCGGCTAAAGAAAACGGAGATGCAAATTGTGCTGGGGGGAACGGAACGCAGGGAGAAATAGAATATGCTGCAGAAATGCTAGAGCAAGCAGGTACTGGTGCATCCGAAGCAACAGGAAATGGAACGCAGAGAGAAATAGAGAACGCAGCAGAAATGTTAGAGCAAGTAGCTACTGGTGCAGCCGAAGCGACAGCTAGTAACGGAGCGGGAGTAGAAGCAAGCGACAGGGAAGTCAGCGGATGGCCTCTTCGCAGCCAGACGGTTCAGACGGCATACCACAACTCTCCAGGTGCGTCGCTGAAGTGACGCTTGCGTCGACTGAAAGCGTAACCTCATTACCAGTCATAAGTTTCTTCGCAGTCAAACGGTTCAGACGGCATTTCGTGTTTTCAAGATCCACGGATCCATTGTGCCCTGCACTGCCATGGCTGCGCGCTTTTCCTCCACTACATGCTACCAGCTTCCTCAATCCTAGCTTCGTGCTTTTAATATTTCCTTTGTGCAACCCTTTTTCCTTTATGCATGTGTCCATGTGCAACTATGCGCGATCATGTGCAACCGTGTGCGATCACGTGCCACCATGTGCGACCATGTGCGACCATTCCTGTCCAACAGACGGCGGCGTTAATAGCAGCAACTCAACCGCTGCAGCCGACCCTCCACCCACTGAGCCCCTTCCCCCATCGGCGGCAACAGCGCGAGCCAACGCACCTGAATCCCAGTCCCAGCCCCAGCCCAAGCCCGAGCCTGAGCCCGAGCCTGAGCCCGAGCCTCAGCTGACGCACGAGCAGTACTCGGGAGTGGCGGAGGGCGCAGCGATGGGCAAGGTGGTAGGCGCGCGGGTGAGGGACACGGAGGGCATGCTGGAGGCGCTGCGCAGTGCGGCGGGCAGCAGCTTCGAGGACATGGCGCTGCACCGCGAGGAGTCCCGCTCCCACCCCGAGGCCTTCGGGCAGCGCGACTGGCGGGTGAGGCGGGCGAGGAGGGAGAGCGGGAGTGGCGGGTGGGAGGGAAGAGGCGCGTGAGAGGGGGTGGCGGATGAGCGTGAGAGGGGGTGGCGGATGAGCGTGAGATGGGGTGGCGGATGAGCGTGGGAGGGGATGGCGGATGAGCGTGAGAGGGGGTGGCGGATGAGCGTGGTAACAGAGAGGAGTCACAAGCACACCGCACCCTGATAGCATTTGGAGAGAAACGGTTTCTGAGGGCACAAGGAGCGTCTCCTGTGCGAGGGAGAGGGTCTTTTTTGCGTACAGCATAGCGAGAATCGGCTTTTGAGGCGCCTCAATTTGCGTTCACTCTGATCAGCGTAAATCAAGAGCCGCAGAATGAAGTGCCTCTGTGGAGGAGTTCCCAATCCTCCCCTCAACAACCCCACACCACATGCTTTCCCCCGCGCACCTCTCCATTTTTCCCCCTTTCTCTGCTGCTAGCTGAAGGCTCAGCGAACGAGGGTTGAAGGCAGTTAATAAGTCTCCCTCTTCTCTCCCCACCCACCCACCAAACCCACACAACTTTTGAAGCGCCTCAAAAGTCCCACACACTCTTCCCTGGGCACTCCCCCCCCTTTCTTGTGTCTCTCCGCCCTTGCTCGGTGTGCAGCTGAAGGAGCAGAGCAAGAGCCACAGGGTGATGTACCGCCCAGGGCCGGAGGGAACGGCCTTCCACGAGCTCTGCCTGGAGGGCGTGCTTAAAGGGTCCCTCGACACTGGTGGGCTGCTCTTTCATTTTGCCGGATTTGCTTTGTGTGGTGGAATGGTGTTTTCTGCGCTCAAGGGCTCCTTTCCTTCGTGACTCGTGGGCTTTTTTGTTTATGTATTCGTTTGTCTGTTCATATATATTCAGCAGATATGTTGATGGTGTTGTGGTGCTGTCTGTGCTCATGACGTGCTCATGACGTGCCCATGACGTGCTCATGACTTGCGATTGGAAATTTGGATTTTGGGTTTCAAAACACTCTGATAGTCTCATATCCACACCTCTCTTCTCTCATCTACACACTGCAGTGCTCGCGGTGGCTTGGGAGGCTCCTTTCTTCATTGACTGGTGGGTGCGCTCTCCACACATGTGCTCATGGGTACAAACACATGTCTTCATGTGTACGAACACATGTGCTCATGGGTACTAACACATGTCCTCATGTGTACGAACACATGTGCTCATGGGTATAAACACGTGCATTCATGGGTACAAAGACGTATCCATGATGTTACAAGTGACGAGTTTTCATGGGTACAAACACGTGTACTCATGGGTACAAATGCGCTTTTTCATGGGTACACGTGTCCCCACCTCATGGTATCCTCCCTTTCCCTCTATCCCCACTTTTTTCTATTTTGTCAAGTATTGTGATGCTATTAGCTGCAAGGTTTTACCCTGCTGTCTTCCACTTTGTCCTGGCCCCCACTTTTATCTCCCCCCTCCCTCCCTCTTTCCCTCCCTCAATCCCTCTTTCCCTCCCTCCCTCCCTCGTTCCCTCTCTGCCTCCCTCCCCTTCCCCCGAACCTCTCTTCTCCCTCCCTCCCTCCTTCCCTCCCTCCCTCCCTCCCTCCCTCCTTCCCTCCCTCCCTCCCCCCCTCCCTCCCTCCCCCCCTCCCTCCCTCCCTCCCTCCCTCCCTCCCTCCCTCCCTCCCTCCCTCCCTCCCTCCCTCCCTCCCTCCCTCCCTCCCTCCCTCCCTCCCTCCCTCCCTCCCTCCCTCCCTCCCTCCCTCCCTCCCTCCCTCCCTCCCTCCCTCCCTCCCTCCCTCCTTCCTTCCCTCTCTCCTTCCCTCCCCCCCTCTCTCCCTCACTCAAGTCACGTCCAGCCCTCACTTCATGCATCTCCCTCACACACCACGCCCTTCCCGCACACCACGTCTCTCCATCCCACCACACCCCTCCGCCCCTCCGCCCCTCAGTGCCGCCCTTCCACGTGCTCGAGTCCAAGTTCGTCAAGAGAGTGGCTCAATCCTCTCTCTCGCTCCTCCGTTCTCTCTCTCCTCCTCTCACTGCGTGTGTCCCTCACATCTCGTCTCTCCTCGCCTCGCCCCTCTCCTCGCCTCGCCCCTCTCCTCGCCTCGCCCCTCTCTTCGCCTCGCCCCTCTCCTCGCCTCGCCCCTCTCCTCGCCTCGCCCCTCTCCTCGCCTCGCCCCTCTCCTCGCCTCGCCCCTCTCCTCGCCTCGCCCCTCTCCTCGCCTCGCCCCTCTCCTCGCCTCGCCCCTCTCCTCGCCTCGCCCCTCTCCTCGCCTCGCCCCTCTCCTCGCCTCGCCCCTCTCCTCTCTGCTGCAGGTGGCCGCAGTTCTCAGTGCCGCCCTTCCACGTGCTCGAGTCCAAGTTCGTCAAGAGAGTGGCGCCGGGATACGAGCTGATACAACTCCGGTCAGTCACTGCCACAGTAGCTAGTGGAAGGAGCACAAGGGCAGCAAGGACGCCATGTCATGTCATGTCACGCACCAACTCTTCTCGCAGACCTCGTCGGCATCGCTTGTGCGCTCTTCTGCACTTACCCTGTGTCGCCCCTCACTTCTCACGTCCTCACTAACAGCTCTCCAACCAATCCCGTCCGCTTCACTTCCCTGCCGCCGTCTGTGTCCCTCTGCAGATTCAAGGTGCCGTGGCCATTCGCCACGCGCGAAATCCTCTACGTGCTCTTCTCCGTGCACGACGCTGTCACCGGCTTCATCGCCACCTCCCTCATCTCTGTCAGTACTACAAACCCCCTGTTTTGTCTTCCCCTTGCACTCCTACACGTCCCTCGCACCATTCTCTACCACTCCATTCTTTCTGTGCTCTCTTTCCCATTCACGATGCTGCTTCTGCTGCTGCTGCTGCTGCTGCTGCCACTGCTGCTGCCGCTGCCGCCGCTGCCGCTGTCCGCGAGTTTTGTTGTTGAGCTGAGGTCCATGTTAGCGTTGTCTGCTGAGGTCCATGTTAGCGTTGTCTGCTGAGGTCCATGTTAGCGTTGTCTGCTACCTTTCTCTGCCGAGCCATTTTCGGCTGCAGCACTGGCTGGCGCCTGATCTCTCTTTTTTTTGAAAAGCACATGACTACTCAACATGGAGGTTAGCCCTCACACCATGGGGATTGTTACATCTCATCGGGGCTGCCCTCTCATTTCACTCTTCCATCTGTTTCTCCTTTCTCTCGTTCATCCCTTCCGTCAATTTCCCCGTGCTGGATTGTACCTTCTCATATTTCCCGCTTCCTTCCCACCTCAAATGTTTCCCCTTCTCATCACATATTTTCCCCGTGCTCCCC